ACTATAACACAAACCCAGGCTGTCACTATTTAGGTGCTCTAAAATGTGACGCAGTTGTTCTTGCAAACTCTCTTGAAGAAAGTTTGCTTTAGATAAAGCAGTTTTAGAATTAAGAGCTTGAACATCATCTATGCCACGGAGTTGCTATCACTCTGCCATAAGGGACGGAGTCTGAACTCACCCTCTGAGAAATCAATTTAGTTGCAATTGCATGTAAAAAAAGGGACGATACCTTGAACAAAATTCTAGAACTGCTTGCAACATTTATTTAGTCTTAAATCCATCTTTACAAAATTAATTTTGAGGTGTTGGTTTCCCTGCTCCTCTTCCAAGCACATTTCTCTATTTTGTTGAGTTCCCACCACATCTCTCAATGGCTTTTTATTGATTGTGTTAGAATAGGCATTGTTCACTCTGCCAACCCATGATCATTAGCTCGGTACTCCTTTAACTCCATTCTTGCCAGCAGAAAACCTCTCCACTGCAGCTTTATTATGGAAGGAACTTCCCGAGGCACAGAGAAGTTCTGGCTCACCAAATGACCTTAATCTCCAGAAATAGATTTGGAACAGATGCCTGAATTGTCTCTCTGCCTCCTTTTTTTTTTTTAATCTTTTTTACTGTTCTTAGCCCAGAAAACATAGAGGGAAATTTGGTGTACCTTCACGTATTTGATTTGAACCAGGCGTACTCGGCGTACTCTCCATCTGTTGCTTTACCAACGGTGCTGCCAGCAGGGACACAGGAGGAACACTATACTTGTGCTGAGTATTTTTAAGTAACTCGCTTATTTCAGATTCATCTTCTAAGCAAGTCACCAAGGTGTACACCACTGGTTCATTAGACTCTGCAGCTATCAAGGCCTTTCCAAAGAGGAATTCAGCAATGTGTAAACGACAAGCAAGAGGTAGATTCTCGTCAGTGGAATAAAATGCGACAAGAGGTGCCTGAAGTGGATACTTGTTTTCTTCAGGAAATCTTACTTCAAGTTCATATACAGGATCATCACTGTTAGCTCTGAGATGAGCATCATCTACAGGGTTCCTCACTGGTTTTAGTGGGTGGTTTGAAGGGAATTCATGTCCAAATCTGCATTTTGAACCAAACCTGCAGCCTCCTTGGAGATAAAATTTACATATTTCCTTTGAAGTCTGCTTTGCTTTGTCCCTAGTACAATCATCCTTTTGTTTAGATTTGCTGAACTTGTTTGCTAGGTACTCCAATTCCAAACTAAAAGTCCAAACTCGGTTTTGAATTCTTTCTACAAATTTTTCTCCATAGATTGACCGGAGGGCAAAAGCCTCTTCTTGTCTCTGTTCTAAACATTCTTCTTGACTGGCTTCAGCTGCTGTTGCTGAAACCTGCATCTTCTCTCCATATTTTTCAGTAAAGCACTGCAATAGCAAATACTCCAATGATGCCCCAACATTACCATTGCAGGATCTCAGTACTGTCCTACAACGCTCTCTGTCAAAACCATACCTGCAACAAAACAGAGACAACATGGCAACAAGTGAGTGACAGAAACCTGTATGAAGCAAAATAACCACAGATCTGCTTGATTAGGCTTACAGCAAGGAAGCACATATGCCAAGAGTTACTACTACTGCGAAAATATTTATGCTATTTTAAATGACAGTGGCAGGCAGTAATTTAGTGTCTGTTCTTTAAAAGGTGACAAATTAGTTTACGTGGCAATTATCTCACACCTCAGAATGTAGTGCAAATAGCTACAGAATTAGATTTCCCACCTAAATTAAACTCTTTAAAAAAAGCTGAGTCCTATCACATATAAAACACTCTCAAACAAAGCAAAAATAGTTAATAAATGCTGATAATAAATCTGAGCAAAATGGATGAAGGTTTTGAAACATTATCTACTTGCAGGAAACATACGTATAACAGCAACGGTCCCTGCGCTTTCCTAATATCTGTTTCATTGTTTTGGAGAAAGAACTGAAAACTTCACTGAAGAAAGGCTGATTTATTTTCATAAAATCATTGTTTTAATCTAGTTGAGGATTAAATTAGTAGGAGACACAAACTCATCAGTTCTGCACACAGAATTCCCTGGACTCAAGAGGAAATCCAAGCACAGAGGGCTTACAGCACTGAGACTAGTGATTTACCTCTTCATGATACAAATTATTCACTGAAAAACATCACCTGGAAAGCTTGTGCACAGCAAACGAAGACACTTCACTTTCCACAATTCTGTGCTCAGCTGGCTCAGCAGACGGCCTTGGTGTTATGTCAGGAACTTCCTGATCTGTTGACCAGCACTGTTCATCAAGATAATCAGGTTCGTCATCATCTTCACCACAACCAGCTACTCTGATAAAAAGAGTTATCAAATTAAAACAGAACAAAATTATACTATTGGGTAGACACAGAACTCTGACTCTACACTATTAAATCCTCCATTTAAATGGAGGATTCTGCTACTCCTTTCCTAGAGTTAATATTGAAGAAGAACAAAGCCAACTCAAAATGACAGGATTTGAGATCAAATTAAAAGTTGAGCAAAAAAAGAACACTGTTTTCCTGTCTAACAGTGTGCCTGTTACAGCGTGTTCATCTGCAAGAGCTAGAAGTAAGGCCTCCGTTTAAACTAACTCTGATTCAGGAGCCAGCTCCTGCCCTTGAAGCTCTTGAAGAAGTTCTTTCACTCTTCTCTGATTCTCTGACGTCATGTGTATGGTCTGCAGAGGGATTCTTGCTTCGTGTTTCTGTTTTGTTTGCCCTCCTCTTCTGGCAGGGGCATTTGATCTAAAAATTAAAATAGAATATAACAATGACTCATTTGCCCGGCTCAAATGATCCAGACTGAACTGGGATGCGTTAGGACCCAACCCTGTAGTTCAAAACAGGAAAACCAAAATAAAACAAGTCCATCACCTAAAGATTATTCAGTTGGGCTCATTCTTACATGACCAGGATATGTATGTCTATATCTGTGCATACACAAGCATGCACGTATGTATTTTATCTGATGTCAAATCCAAAGTAATTTAATAAACTCTTTGGCCCAGCTTCTGCTTCATAATATGCAAAAATGAATAGCCTCTGTTTATTAGTGTTTTTTGGTCAAAGACATTCCGAAATTACCTTATGACCAAAGAAGAAAATCTGAGGTTCTAATATTTAAAACCCCCAAACAACTGTCCTAGCTGTAAATCATTAAAAATGTTAACCAAAAAAGAGCTGTAAAAACCGATTCATACTGAAACAGCTTCATCACCCCTTAACTCTTCTTTATATTCAAAGATGTCCAAAACCAGCCCTAAAGTATCCCAGACATCTCTATGCCAAACCCCTCCAAACTAACAAAAAGACCTGGATTCCAGCCTCGGTTCCTCAAAGAGACAAAAATCATCTCCATCATCCCAAATCTTGGTTGAACATTTCCTATTTCCACCGAGTTGAGACTTGTTTGAATGGCCACTGCTGCCGCCTCCTCTTCCTCCTGCTCTTCCTCCTCTTCCTTTTCCTCCTCCTCTGTTGGGCTTTCCTCTTTTCCTCCCTGCTGAACTCATGTTCTCTCGCTGAGGAAGGAAAAAAAATAAATAACCCTTAGTTATGAAGATGATTTAGCACACTGCAAATGTCTGGACACACATGGCCTTATTTGTTTTTCTATGTGACAAGAGAAGATACCCTCTTGAACTGCAGTTGATTACATGTAGGTTAGTTTATTTGTAGGCACCTGAAGCAGAGCACATTATTCGAGAACACCGTTAAACAAGTTCTGCAGTTTTAGAAAGTAAAAGTCATATTCCTTACAACTGTTCACTACAAAAAACGCAGGATCTCTGGGAAAAGGATGAGCCTACCAGCAGTGCTGCCTAGTGTGGTAGCTCCAGTTCTGCCACTCTGATGGAATTTTCTTGGACATGGGGGAGCCATGATACAAACATGGTACAAACCATCAGAACTTTCACAGCAGAAAGCAGCCTGTGCCCTGCCACTTTTCAAATTGGGAGTTTGCAGGGCTGAGAGTAAAAGGTCAAAGGGGAGCTGAAGCCAAAGATACAGTTTGTTTCCACGTTAACCTGCTCCTGACCCATCCTCTTCTGCAAGAAGTTGCCCAATCAGCTGAGCACTCTGGGGAGCCTGGGCATGGGAGTGCCTTGGAAAACAGAAGCCCTCCTTTCCTTCTCACAGCAGGATCTTCACCAGCTCTGACACAAGCTCGTTAGTACTAAGCAGTTGTTGTCAGTGATGGAATAAATGGCTCACCATTAACACATGCCCCAGCACCATGCTCCTGCACATGGAAAGCTCTTGCAGGGCCAGGGCAGCACCTGCAGACAGTCAGCCAGGGGCCCACTACCCCGATCTTTGTGCCGGCCCCTCCAGAGCCAGGACAAGGCCTGCTGTGGCCATGGGTGAGAAACAGCCCGGACAAGGGGCTGGAAACAGCAACAGTCTGGGGCTTGGAAAGGAAACTTCCCCTTTTGCAGTGCTTCTCCCCGCTAGAGCTAGAGCTCCACCGCAGATTTCTGTGAGAACTGCTGTCTTCTACCTGCTTTTGAGGTAATACCAAGCACAAGACAAGCTGACCCCGCTCAGAGCAGCCCGGCATAGCGAAGGCGGCTCAGGGGGTGAGCGCAGCAGCCGGACACGGCTACGGGCGGCCGCCTCCGAGGAGGCTGCCACACGGGGTCCGCCTTCTTCCTCTCCACACACTGCAGGGAGCCCTCGGCCCAGAACAGCTCCGCTTCCCTGCCGACCCCCCGGCACCGCCCCCCGCCTCGCGCACCTCCGAAGGGGTGTCCCATCACCAGCACTCCACAACCGGGGGTACCCGAGCCTCCTCCCCCGGTGCTGTCCCCCCCTCACCGCAGGGCTCCCCCTTCCGCTCACGGTGCCGGGACGCCATTCCCTCAGCCGCCTTCACGGGCCCCCCCCGCACACCTCTTCCCCTCCGTCCCCGCTCTCCACGGCGCCATCACGCCCTCCGCCCCCCCGGGGCCGCCCGCGCCTCTCCGCCCCGGCTCCCACCTCTCCGCTCCGCACCGGCCCCGCGCGGTGTCCCCTCACCCGGAAGCGTCCGTCTTCCCCTTCCGGGTCTCCGGCCTACTCTAGCAACCGCGGATACTTCCGCCTGGCAACCATGGACGGTAATGCCTTCCCCGTCCCCTCACACGGTGCCCCGCCGACAGCACTGAAGGCTCCCCTGTAAAGAATCGCATGCTAATAATTATGTGCAGTGTCAAGCTGCTGTGTATTTGAATGTATCTATATGTGTGTATATACTTGAATTTCAGCCAACAGTCGTGTCCTGGTTTGAGCGACACAGAACTAATTCCTCTTCTAACACTAGGGAAAACTGCACTTTTAGGAGCCCCTTGTGTCTGAATTACGACAATATTTACTTTACAGCCAGCTGTGGTATGTGGGTTTCAAGGTCTCAGTGTTTTTGAGCCTTGCCAGGTGCAGGGGTGAGGAGGAGCGAGGCCCGGTCACTTGGCCCAAGCTGCCGACAGGGTTATTCCATACCATGAACAGCACATTCAACATAAATTGGAAAGTTTGCTGAGGGTTTTTTTCTCTCCCTTGATAGCTGCCACCCTGAGAACTCCCTGCCCCGGTGCCGGAGCCCTGAGCCCTTCCCTTCCTCCCGAAGCCCCAGCGCTCGCAGGGTCCCACAGGGGCTGTCCCTGCGGGGAGGGCCCCACATTCCCTGTGGGGAATGGGCTGGGTACAACCCCTGCCTATTTTAGATTGGTATTGGGCTCAATACTGGTTCTTTAGTGTTATTAATGTTAATTAGTTAGTCTTATTCTATTAAATCTGTTTATATTTCAATCCTTGGGTCTCCTTGTTTTCCCCGATTCCCCTTCCTGGGTGGGGAGAGTGTGAGAATAATTGTCTAAATGACAGTAAATTGTTGTGGCTTTCTCAAACCGTAACAAGTTGTTAACAGTGACGCTGGTTGTTTCTTTATTAACAGAAGCTGTGAATTTTAAAGTGTCTTTCGTATTCCCAAATAAAGACAAGTATGGTAAGCAAATCTTGGTAGGTGCTAATTCCTTTTGCAAAATTGGCTTTATGGGATTAAACCGGAGGAAATCTCTGCCAGTTTCAGGGTGAGGGGGCTAAGTGACAAACAACCCTGGAGCTGTGCAGCTGAGATAGGTAGGTCCCTCTAGAGATCCCCGGCCCCCTGCGCACACAGAGTCGCCCATGATGACTGCCCTGGACTGCATCCCATCAGGTCTTGAATATCTCCATGGACGGAGACTCCACAACCCCTCTGTGCAACCTGTGCCACATGGGAGTTTAAGGCAAAAATTTTTACCAGAAAAAAGGACTATTTCCCAAGTAACACACTGCTTTGGCTATGTAAGAGCCCCCCACAGACACATGGAAGCTGCCTTGGGTGTGTTTCCCCAGGGTCCACCTACAGACAGCCACAGCCACTGCCATGATGGTCCACTGGGGACTGCTATGCTCCATGCCAGCTCCTCACCAGCCTCACAGTGGGGTTCAGTGGTGGTGGAGGAACAGGGAACAGGACTGCTGCTGGCTTGCGCTCTGCATGGTCCCCAAAGGCATCTGCTCCAGCAGGGCTTGTTTGCTCTAAGGGCCCCTATCTGGGAGCAATCTGTCCACAAGAGGTGTAAAGTCAGCTCTGGAGAAATGGCTCTGTGCAACAGAAGAAGTGCATTGTATGATCTCATAGGCTTTTGCCTCTCGGATGTTCTCTGTCTTGAAGTGAAAATACCTGTCTTCCATCATTCTCATTTTCTAGAGGGGGAGTGCAAAAAGACACCTGAAGGTATGCTCAAGAGGAATGGTCATGGAATCCACACTGGTGCCAATGGAACTAGATACGTTGGCAGCTGGAAAAATGACAAGGTAATGTTAAGTATTCACTTTAAACTTTTTCTGGGTTTGGAATGGAGCATGTCCACTATACTCACCCTTAAAAAGACACAGAAAGGAAAGTCATAACCTGAGAAGTATTAGACCAATGCTGCAGGCTCTTCTTCCACCTGGGAATCTTGTCTGAGCCCAGGCCTTGAGATATTTGTGGTCTTCGGGTGTCCTGCTGCCTCCTCAGGCTCCTGCAAATATGCCACCCATTGGTGGCAGGCAGGCCCTGGTGAAACACTCTGGCAGCGTGGTGCTGGTGTTGCCCAGGATGGCACAGCCACGGTGAAAGCCCTGTACGCATGGCTGTGCACACATCGTGGGCTAGGCATGGCCCTCCTGCATGTGTATATAGGCCACACACACCTCCCACAACGAAACAGGGCAGCTCTGGCCATCAACAGATAAACCATTGTTTGGTTGCCCTTGGCTACTCTGCTCCCCAGGAATGAATTATTAAGTATAGGAAAATTGCTTGTTTTGTCTCTCCTGGAAAGGAGGCAGTCCTTGAAATGAGACAAATAAGGGTCTGCAATTAGGAAACTGCATCTTGCAGTTTTATCAGATCTATACGGCTTTTTTTCAGTCTCTTACAAAAATATTGGTGCAATGGTAGGAATTTGGATTATGGCACAGAAGTGCTTTACAGCACAGATTTAAATCCCCAGTCATGGCTTAGTGCCCTAGGCTGAACAAATTATAGACTTGCTCTGCTTTGTAAGAAATTCCAGGAAATTTAATTAACCCCTGAGGCTGTTAGGGTAGATAAATTATTTGCAGGGCTGGAGACAGCAGTTCCTGTGAGACTACTAGCAGATGAGGGGTTTATTGGACACTGGATGGCCAAAAACTAAGCTCTTACCTGAAATCCTAGTAGAAGCAGGAACCTAAGTCTGAAAGAATAGTCATTTTTCTCTCCATTATCGTGTCTCAATATGATAGCAGATTCAAAGGTGGCAATCTGAAAGGATATTGTAATAGAAGGAAATAATACTGTAAGGATAAACATTAATTATTTTCTTTATCCTTCATCTAATTAAATGCAGATGAATGGTATTGGAAGGCTAGAACACCCTTCTGGGGCTGTTTATGAAGGCGAGTTCCAAGACAACATGTTTCATGGAGCTGGAACCTACACATTTCCAAATGGCGCAAAGTACATTGGACCATTCAATGAGAACAAGTATGTTTGGAGTGGAAGAGTCGTATAGTCTTTTCTGTTAGTTTTGTTTTTAGCTGTAAAGTTCAAATAAAATTCACCCAAAATGGGACTAGGTTGCTTTTGCTAGAAGTGAAACTTGCACTGGGTATCTGAAATTGCTGGTCCCAGTTGTATCCTTTTCATGAGAACAGTCAAAAGTCTGTGATTTGTTCCTAGGCAGGTTTTCAAAATGGTTGTTCCACCCGACCGCTTTTTGTTATCAGGTCTCTGCGCTCAGGTGGAGTTCAGAGTAGTAGAACAGTCCAGACCCCTTCCAGAGCCGTTGTTTCAAATTGTCTGCTTATAGATGCATGCAGGAATACAGTGCTAATTTGCACTGGTAGTTTGCAAAGTTTGTGTTTACTTATTTTTTGAAGTAAAGTACAAATTTCAGAGAGATGGGAAAATGTGGATGTTTATTTTCATCCCTCAAAAGAAAATATTTTAGTGCCACTGATAAATACCAGCAATTTCTTTGGAATGAGGGTGAGTGTTTGAATTGCTAAGATACTATCTTGTCCTAAACCAAGAAGCTGATACCGACTTCATAAGCCACAAAACAGATTGAATGAGAAAATTAGCTGTAAAAAATTACATGAGAATGTTCATGTTTATTCTCCTTAAATGACTTCTCTGTCAAATTTGCTAGGTTTGATTTAGGTTTAATTTTTCTTTAAGTGCCTCCCCAATCCAGTATCTGAAATAAATCTAAAATGTATGTTTGTTAATATGTGGTCTTTCATCAGAAAAAAAAGCTCTATCTTGGCCTTCTGACCAAAAATAATAGCACAATAGCACTAGAATGATGATCAATTCTATTTTTAAACTATTAGACACCAAATGAAATATGTATTACAGAATGTACCTGAATACAAAATAGGAGCCTGTATGACAAACAAAAAGCGTTTGAGGAAAAATGAAAGATAAATATGTCAATGCTTTAGAACAGATTAAGTTATGTCTCTATTACAGTGGCATGTTAAAATCTGCTACAGAGCTTCTGTCTTTTGCTGTCATATTAAAAGACAGGCATGAATTCTGCATGAGTATTCATCCCTTCAGTGAGAGCATTCAACTGTAGATCACACATGTAGCTTTACAGGCATTTTCTCTCAAAAATCTTAGGGTCATGCTTCTACTCTCCTGTGAAAACATAGCCCATCACAAAGGGACCAGCACAATGCTTGTCACTAGTAGCTGATCCATAGAGAAAACAGCTGGTTCTGATTTGAACTTGTGATTTCAACTAACTAAAATGCTGGTGTAGATACACCACCAGCAGCAGGCATCCAATCCTTGCTAGCCACTGCTGTTTCACCAGTGAATTAAGATGGCTCCTTTTTGACACTGGTTTGTGACTGTTAATACGCATTACTCCCTGACAGTCCAATTTTGCAAAGTTTCAGGATTGCTTCTTTCCAGCTACTTACAAGAGGTAAGCGTCAGTTCATCGTATCACTGAAGCTTTCATGAGAGAGCATAAATAGGCAGCACCATAGCAACTTGCTCAACTGCTAAGTGGCTTCATTTTTTAAGGGAAACAAATCTCCAGTAATTGATTTTAGAAGTTATTTTACCCTCATTTGCAATGGATACTGATGGATAGACATTTCTTCTTTATGGCAGTTTTCAGGTATAATGATGAGCTTGATCACAGCTTTCAAAGATCACCAGAAATATATGGTTTATGAGGACTGAATTCACACAGCAGTTACTTTTTTTTTCCTGCAGGAGACTCTAAGTCCCTGTACTTTGTCCTAACAGCATGTTTCATAGCAATGGGGAAAGGGTAAGAGAGGACGGATTTTTACAGCAAGAAGATCACAAAGGACACATCTTTAAGATGCCTCTAATGAAAGTCAGGATAAACTTCATAGGACTTAATCCCTGGTAACTTCAAATCGTAACTGGGACTAGGAAGTTTTTCCTGTAGAGGCTATATGTTGGGAGGACGTTAGTATAAATACAGTTTTGCAAAGAAAGGAGTATGTTCCTTGGCTGTCTAACCTGCATGCTTTGTAGGTCAAAACTTTTACAGGCTACAGTGTGGGAGAAAGCTTAGGCAGGAGCTTAAGGAACACTGGGAAGTTTCAGATTCTTGGCAATTTGCTTTTCTGGGTAGTCCACACATCAGCTTGCTGCCACAAACCAATTGCATTCTCAACGGGCTGGATTTATCTCATTTCAGGATGGAAGGTGAAGGAGACTTTATAGATGAAAATGGAGTGGAGTGGAGCGGCACATTTCACGGCTCGGCAGCAGTGGGACTGAAGCAGAAGCTGAAAATGTAGCTACTTGGCTTGGACAGTAGCATGGGTTAAAGGCAGCTCTGTGATTGCATTTTGGGCTCAACAGCTGGGACCAGTTTTCAACAGGCATTGATTTCTCCATGAATTTTTAAAAAATAAACCCTAAAGATGCATGTCAATAGTAAATAAAATTAAGTTATTTTTCTTTTCTGACAGATCAGCTGAAGCATCCTAAGTGAAAACCTTAAGGAAATGAAGTTGGATAGGGTGAATTTATAAACAGAGCAGTTCATAGAATCATAGAATCATAGAATGGTTTGGGTTGGAAGGGACCTTAAAGATCATCTAGTTCCAACCCCCCTGCCATGGGCAGGGACACCTCCCACTACAGCAGGTTGCTCAAAGCCCCAATCAGCCTGGCCTTGAACACTTGGATGTGGATGGGGCATCCACGACTTCCCTGGGCAACCTGTTCCAGTGCCTCAACACCCTCACAGTAAAGAATTTCTTTCTAGTATCTAATCTAAATCTCCCCTCTTCCAATTTAAAACCATTGCCCCTTGTCCTGTCACTACACTCCCTGACAAAGAGTCCCTCCCCAGCTCTCCTGTAGCTCCCTTCAGATATTGAAAGGCCACTATAAGGTCTCCCCAGAACCTTCTCTTCTCCAGGCTGAATCCCAGCTCTCTCAGCCTGTCCTCATAGGGGAGGTACTCCATCCCTCTGATCATCTTTGTGCCCTCTGCTGGACCTGTTCCAGCTGGTCCATGTCCTTCCTGTGTTGAGGACTCCAAAGCTGGACACAGTGCTCCAGGTGGGGTCCCACGAGTGCAGAGTAGAGGGGCAGAATCACCTCCCGAGACCTGCTGGCCACGCTTCTCTTGATGCAGCCCAGGATGGGGTTGGCTTTCTGGACTACCAGTGCAGGTTGCTGGCTCATGTTAAACTTCTCATCCACCAACACCCCCAAGTCCTTCTCCTCAGGTCTGCTTTCTAGCCATTCTCCACCCAGCCTGTATTTGTGCCTGGGATTGCCATGTCCCGGGTGCAGAACCCTGCACTTGGCTTGGTTAAACTTCATGCAATTTGCACAATCCCACCTCTCAAGCCTGTCCAGGTCCCTCTGGATGGCATCTCTTCTCTCCAGCGTGTCGACCGCAGCACTGAGTTTGGTGTCTAGATGATGACTAGAATTCTTCTTTTATTTTAACTTGCCCTAGGAATGTCTTTCTCCCTGAGTTTCAAAAAGAAAACCAACCTGTCATGAACAAATGAAGCCAAATTTATGCTCAACTTTTATAACTTTCCCAGATAACAAACCGTCCACCTACAGAAGGTTTTGCAAACACAGTGCTCATGGGATCATGTTTACCCTAAGCCATGTGTTGCACAGTGGGGTGAGGGCAGAGAGCACGTGCAGCTGTAGTGTGGTAGTTACTCCCCACAGGTCAAGCCCGTAGTACCAGACCACTCAAGGACAAACCTCTGCTATGCACCAAAGCTGCCTTTCTCTGGGAAGGAAAGTAAACGGGAGAGCGTACAGGGGAGACTGATCACTGCCATGGTCCCAGCCGAAAGTCTAATACAATGAAAAATCTATTACTATTTTTGGTTTGGTTTGGTAATTAAAGGTCTCTGCACTGTAAATCTGAACAGTTTGCTTTAGAAAGCAGAAAATCTGCTTTCTAGTTTATAAAAAAAACCCACAACATACCAGTGCTGTCAGGAAAAATGTGTGTTGAGTTTTTGCTTGCCAGATGCTTAATGGAGTTTTATTAAATACCTGTCCTTGCCTCCATTTGCAGACAATTTTGGTCCTTCAAATATTTAGCTCATTTTGCTAGGATTTGGAAAAATCTTGGGCTCTGTGGTTTCTTAGCAAAATATAAAACCAGCACATTATCAGCAGACAGAAGCATACTGTGCCGTCTGAAACAAAGCAGCTCATGGATCATTTGGCAATATAATGCCTTTCAGCCCTTTTTCTTAAAGATGCCTATAGGAAAATCTCTATTTGAAGTGTTTTGTTCATAGACTCGTAAAGCTAAATGATTTTATTTATTAAAAAAAAATAAATCTCTCCTAGCTTGAGCTGTTTGTTGAATTCACAGGTATCTTTGACCCACCAATAATGCCTTTTCTAGCAAACTCCTCCAGAATTATCATTTTATTTTGTTCAATTTTGTTGTGTTTTGCTCCTGAAATAACCAGCTCCAAAACAGAAATACAGCGTCCTCTGTTCCTAGTCCTTGACTTCAGAGGTAGAAGCACCTTCCACAGAGCTTCTGTTCATCTATGAGCCTGTCCTTTCAGCTCCTTTGCTAGGACTCCATGTCACCACATTTATCTGTGCTTCACAGCAATTATACTGATTTAGGCTGTACATTTTTACGTTTCAGGTTTTCTGCCTGAAGGATATCTTTGAAGCAGATCTTTGTCTTTCAGGAAGAAAACAGCCTGCCTTTTGTTACTGTTCTTCCTCCGTTATGTCTCCCTGCTCTTACGCTTTGGAGTAACTCACCAGACTGGCTCAAATATTTTCCTGACACCCCTGGTTTTGCGTTACCTGCATTCTTTCCATGCTTTCTTGATACCCTTTGGAGCAAAAAGCTCTGCAGGACTAACAAGCAACAGAAAACACACAGGTGCTGGTGGTTTCTGCTCCCCTCCCCTCACTTGGGTGCCACAGGAGGTGCTTAAGAGCCTCTGGGCTTGGCAAAGTAGCAGAGATGCCACCAGCAGCCAGCTCTCACCACACTCTGCCTGTCACTCCATAGGCTTCTCACCCTCCCTTCGCAGCAGTGTGCAATTCTAATTAAAAACCAAAAAAGTTGGTATCATCTTCTTCCAAGTGCACAGCCCTGATTTTTGCACAGGGATGCAAGGATATGACCTGAAGATTACATAATTAGAAGGCTCTGTTATGCTTGTGTTTCAAATTAGTGATTAGCATGTGACAGTCCCATCCTGGGAAATGTCAAGCCACCGTTGCTCTCCTCTCTCTCTCCTTTCTCGCACAGAGCTAATTTCCTACTCCAGCAACTCCTAGTGCTGAAGGATCTTCAACCAGCCTGGGGTAAGTTTAAAATGTACTCATCGTGGGATGAAGAGGGGGATTAATAATACCATTATTCATATTATAGGAAAAAGCTAGAGCCAGTTATTTAATGTTGGATGGGCAGCACATAAAATGGTATTTATTTTGCATCTTCAGTGCTCACAGTTATTTCCAGCTGATTTCTTCTAAGACCGTATGTGGAGATCTAGCTTCTTCGTGTGCTGGAGAATCTTGTGAAGCTGCGTTTATAGTAAGGTCTCTAAAACACCAAGCTAAAAGGACCTTTTTTGCTCTTATCATTTAAGAGCTAAATTGAGGTCTCATACTGAATTGAAGTATTTGAATGACAATTGCATTAGAGTTAGCTGGAGACAAAGCGTGAGAGTGATGAGAGTAAACAACTGATTTTTTGCTGTCTTTAGGGGACTGGGGCTTGTTCTCTAAGTGGGATATTTAAAGCAGCCAGCAATCTCAGCCGGCAGGATTGAGACAGTCACCAGGAAGATCCTAAGCATTTATTTAAGAAAATTGTGGATGTTTAAGAACTGAAACAGCAAAACAGCATATGGATTCCCTTGCACTGTTACCCATGTCACAATTTCAGAAGCAGAATAGGACAGAAAGCCAGACAAATAGTAAGCATTGGCCATCAAGGCTAGGCTTTACTGACCTTTGCCTGTTTGCATGCTGATGCTCGGGATTCTGGGTTGGTCTTTTCAACAAGTGAATCCTCTGCAAAGCTGATTGTTTTTCCCAGCTCTGCCATTCTGTGGGAGGGGAGCACTGGAAGGGTGAGCACGGACATGCATGGGACCTGCCTCCCCCCACGCTCCCCAGCTCCGTGCGGGAATCCTACCCCCGTTCTGCCTCAGTGGCACCTTGCTCTAGTATCCAGCCCTCTGCCTAGGGCATAGCTAAAGGCCGCAACACACTGGGACCTCCTCACCCACCCACACCTTCTCCCTTGGGGATCTTATGGGAAGTGGGTGTCGGCTGGGGCTCTGTTAAGGTTCACACGCTGCCCACTCTGCTCTGGGGGTGCAGTGCCAGCTGCTCGTGCAAGCACCAGGGCAGTATTCTTTGCTGGACACCAGTGGCCAGAATCACGGTGATCACTAATGGCAGAGGTGGCACTCAGCTTTGGTTCTTCGGCTTGGCAGGTTTGGCTGCTGGAGGGAAGCTACAGACTAGAGGGGAAAATACTTCCTTTTGCCACAATGGTGGAATCTGGTGGTTTTTAACAGCCTGAAACTGTTCTCTGGGCTTTGCTCTGGAGATGTCATTCTGGCTTGATGACAGCTGCAGGATGGTAAAGGAGTTTTAATGCTCAGCTCTAAAGAAACAAGCACATCTTTGCTGTTTCTTGTCTCTAAAGCAGGAGGGCAATAGGCAGGTCAAGGCAACCTGCTGATGGCTTCATGTGACTGGGTGTTGAGCCTGTGCGGGGGGAGCTTACAGAGGAACAATAGCTTATCCTTGCTGATGAGGAAACTCCCCTGTGGTGGGCTGGCATACCAGGCAGCGTGCACAGGCCGTGGCAATGGGAAACCCTGAGTGGACATAAGGAAAAATATTCTTCCCCAGTGTACTAGAGGGCCCAGATAGGCTGTGAAGACTCCAGTGTGGGAAATATTTGGACTTGAGCTGGACACAGCCCTGAGGAAGGTGATCTAGTTTGGAGTTAGCCTTTATTTGAACAGGAAGCCAGAGTAGAGACGTAAAGCATCCCTACTCACCGAGGCTCCGCTGCGAGCTTGTGATTTGTTTGCTGCCGGCAGAGGCAGCCCATATCTGGGATCTTAGGGCCAAATGTCCATCCTTTTTTTTCCAACCCTTGTCCCTGGTGAGGAAACAGTGTTAGCAGCTTCCCCACCCAGCAGTCAGGGTAAGCAGAGGGCAAGCATTTGCTCCAAATCATGGAGAGGCGCATTTTGTTTGTTTCAGTGATGAGGAAGAACTGACTAGTTCTGCTCCGTATATTTAGCAGTTCAGAAGAACCGGGCACGGGCAGGCAATGTTATATATTCATGGAGTCCAGCAGGGAGCCCTAAATGCTAGAAAGTAGCCATTGTAATGCGATTATTTAATGTGACAAAGTACTGAGGGTCACTCAGGAAATTGCAGGCTGCTGCCAGAGGACACACGAAAGACAGTTACTCTGGTAAAACAGGAAAGATTTTCTGGACCCACTTAACGAAGGTCAACCTACTTTGTAGTGCGGTATATAGCAGAGCTCCTGGTGCTGCCTGGAGCTGGAGGGGATGGTGGCATCCCTGGTGTCCCAGTTTCAAAGCCTCACTCTTGAGTTCTGCAGCAGACAGAGACTGTGCTCAGACATTGTCCTTGTCAGCGTAAGTGTGATGTGGAAGCTCCTTAGTTAAATCTCCATGCTGTACAGGTATTGTTTTGAATTTTCTCTGTAAGGAAAAGTTATTTCTGATACTAGGAACCCGCAGCGTTTTTACAACCCAAGAGATAAGATACAGTGCCAAAGGGCTCCCTTACAGCCCTACATGCTTCTGAGTTGAAGGCACACAAGAACAGAAGATAGGTAACAGGACAATGATACATCCCCATATGAGCCCTTCTTCTACAAGTATTACTTCTCATTAAAACCTCATGTAAGTTATTTTTCTCCATATCAGACAAACCTTTTTCTTTGTACCGGAACCAAGATGTTTCAAGTGGGAAATGCCATCCTGTGAGCTTCTCCTCCTGGGTGCATCGCTCCTCATGACAACTGCAGGTTTCCACATGTTAGTGGGGGAGTAGCCACAGGTGCTTTTCGTATTCCATCCATCTCTCAAAATCCCCATCTGTAAGACTGATGGCATAGCCCCAGTGATGTGCTGGGCAGAGGAACCTGCCAAAGAGGGATCTAGACAGAGACACAAGCATTTTGAAGTCTCAGATGCCTAGGAGGAGCTGGTCTAAGAGTGAAAGTAGAGAGCAGTTGGTGGAAGGCTTTAATTTAGGCTTTAATTCTGCCTTTTCTACATCTTGGATGCCTGACAGGATTGCAGCCTGTTCATACATTGTTTCCTCATGCATAACAGTCCCCTGACTCGCCCATTTAAAGTTGTGCAGCAACAGTTAGAGATTCTCATTTTTGTGTGCTCCCACAATTAATTTTCTTGGTCTGGCAGGGTATGGTTACCCTGACTTGTAAAGGCCAGAGGTATGAATCTCCATTTTCACTGGAGATTTAGGGATTCCCAGAATAATTCAACAAGTGGATAGTAAAATTACAAAATCTTTAAGAAAGGCCATGGACTTAGTGTATTTAATAGTATATTAACATAACCAATTCCATACTAATTGATGTTTGGTAATTATTATAATTATTATTAATAGTTAACAATACTATACTGTTAGATTGCTATAACTGGCATGTTAAAACATTAACAATATAAAAGTAGGACAGATAAGATATGTACGCATTTTTGTTAAAAACAAAAAATGTGATGAATTTTCAGGAAAAAGCTATTTTCATTGTTTTTGGTGAAAATGTTTATCATAGAAGAACTTTATGGTTTTTTTCATATGTGTTTTGCCTTTACTATTTGTTCCATTTCTCCCAACATTGCAAAATCAATTCTGAATTTTGAAACCAATTCTCAGTGTCAAACAAGCTGGTCCCAGTTCAACAAAAGCCTCAGGAATTTGCTATAGCATTGACTAGTCTAAACTGAGAGTTTAGACTATTAAACAAGTTGCTACTGAAGTTGAAGTTAAAAGTCTGTTTCACTCAGAAACTTAAGTACTTTCTCCTCAAGACTACTAGAGGCGAAATTTAGCTACTTTAAAAGCATATCTATGTGTTTTGGAAGGAAATGACAATCTTACCATTCTTTGCAATACCTATCAGAAATATTTTATTTTATTATTTTTTTATATTTTATTTTTTCTAAAGAGGGCTGGGGTGCACAGCATAGGAGGAGAGGCTGGTGGAGTTGGGTTTGTTCAGCTTAGGGAAGACTGGGGGGCTGGGAGGGTGGTCCTACAGCCATCTGCAACTGCCTGAAGGGGGTCATAGACTAGGCAATCAGGCTCTTCTGGCAGATACAATGAAAGATAAATTGCCATGGGCACAAGATGCAACAAGGGAAACCTTGACTGGCCATAAGTAAAAAATCCTTGCCCATGGGATCAGTGTAATCCTGGGACAGGCCTAGAGAGGTTGAGTCTCCAGCCTGGGAGATACGCAAACCTTTACTAGATGAGGCCCTGAGAAATCTGATCTAGCTTTGGGTTTAGCCCTGCTTTCATTCAGATAACTCCAGAGGACCCTGCCCATCTAAATTCTGCCATGAGCAGAGTCTTCTGAACAACAAAAAAATCTCTATTACACTGTCAGCTGATAGAAAACAGATTTATCTCACTGTAACCAGGTGCCTACCTAGAAGCTTTGGTCCTAAGGTGGCAGTTAGTCCTAAGCCCACATTCAAAGTTCTTCCACCTTTCCACGGGTCACCCTCTGTCCTGAGAAAACAGTGAATCCTCTTGGGAGATGTCATAAGCAGCTCTCTTACAAGTAAGAAGTTTATCTTTTCATTAATCCTCAATCTCAAGAAGATGCTAAACCCCAAGTCCCTTCAGCACTGTGCTGGAGGCCTTTCAGTCCTCATCACACCCTCAGCAAGAGGCGCGCTGGGTATGCTGAGGGCTGTGCCCCTCCCAGCCTGACCACAAGCGGCGTCCCTTGCCACAGCTCACAAATGCTCAGCATTGCTCCCACCCCAGGAGCCCCAATGTTGTCACCACCCTCCCTTGGGAGTTCCACACTGAAAAGCTGCCAGGCTGAAAGTGTGTAGCCCCCAAGCTACACTGCTGACTGCACTAGAAGCAACTCCTTCTGCAGCAATTACCTAAAGCCACTGGGGCTCTTGCATCTTTCCCATCTTTCCCATCTATTTAATGCGATATGCCTTCCTCTGTGCCTGCTTTCCCCAAAACATCACACTAGGCTTCTCCAGTCCCAGCCAGGAGCTGGCCTCTCCAATCCCATTAGCAAAGCTAATGATAACTCACATCAGCCTTGGGCATATGTATGTCAAACAGGAATGGAGGTGGGAGGTTATTCTAGACTCCTAAATCACGCCTAGTTTCCTAGTAAGGCTGGACAAAAGCAGACTTGAATTAAACCCTGGGGAGAGGAAGCCTGGATGTGGGGCAGTGCCCATGCTGATAAGAGAAGTGTGAGCTGGTGCAATCCATTTTTCTGGAGCTCTGCCTGCGTCATTAATCAAGCATCATTATCTTAAGACTGTTCCCAAGGTCATAACCCCATTACCAGACTGATGAGATGCTTTACCAAGGGAGTGACTTGGGCACAGCACCATGCTCAGTTGGCCCTGGTTTCCAGAGAGGCTGCAGCTCTACACATCAAGGTGCCTTGCAGCACTCCTGTGCCTCCAAAAGTCAGAGAGACAACTGACAGAGAGCCTGCTCTCTTTGGAGGCAGTAAAGGTGCCTCCAAAAGTGCCAGCAGGATTGTGCAGCAGCATTGTGAAGGCAATATCTCTGTGGCCTAAGCACAAGTTAGGAAGACATTTTGTATAGCAAAAAGCTGGTTCTTTGATGCAGAACACCCATGCAAGATGTTCATGTCCTGTTCAAAATACATCTCCTTTTGCTTGTGTTTTCTATTGGTTCTCACATGCAGTTTCTCACATGTGTTCAAACAAGAAGTGTTTTGCTGAGCATTGTGGGTTTACATAGTACCTCTTAATCATCCATCCATGTAAGCACAAACAGCTGGGAGGGAAAGTGTTTGTACGGGTGCCCACTCTGCTTGTGGAGGCAATGTGAACCCAAACAAAACTTTAGGCTGCCTCATTCCCTCTCAGATCTTTCCTCTTCCCTCTGTTTTCTGAACTCTGGGCATCTCCGCTCAATAAACCCTCTCTGCATCTTTCTGCACTCAGGGTTCAGACCAGCTGACCCAACGCAGGGCTCACATGTGGGCAGCTCTAAGCCATGGGATGTTCCCTGTGACCAGCCAGAACCCTCCAGAGTGAGGACAGGAGTCCCTGCAAGGACGCACACCCTATAGCAGCCATGGACTCAAACAAACAAGAAGGTAATGCAGCCTCTTATTTCACTTCTTGATAGCATGAAAGACAGTGAGGAAGAAACCTGCTCTCCTATGACCTGCCTGTTGGCAGCCACCCGCCACCCTCCCGAGAACATCTCTTAGCCATGGCAACTGTGGACAAATGTTGTTTTCTTTTAGTTTCATAGAAATAGCTGGGTTTTGAAGTTTTTATCTCTTATTTTAGAAACATCTCCCTCTCCCCTCTGGAAAATAATCCTGTGGCATATGTCATGTCTAGGGTGGGAAGTCGTTCTCCTCTCTTGCCTTGGATATACAGAGACTTCTGACTGTCAAAAGCCATGTCTTACCCAAAGGCTCTGTGGTGAGGATCTGCTTCTCTCCCTCAGATGCTTTGTTGCAAGGGGTTTCTGTTCATGTCAGTGCCACAACCCAGACTCCTGCACCAGTCCCAATCTTGCAAGCACCAAGATGTATCCAGGCCACACTGCTTGCATGCATCCAGTCCTGCTACAGTCAGCAGCACTTCTAGAGAGTCTGCAAAGCTCAGGGGTTTTAGGTCCAGGCTTTTAGTAGTTATCAGCTTTAGATGTTATTTTTGCAGAGGAACATGGGGTTAGTGGTACTTGCTTTCCACCCCAAACCCTTGCAGCATTGTGCTCTGCTTTGCCACCTCAGAGGTGATTGTGTTACCTGAGGACCTCTTGAAACTATGAGGAGCAAGCTGAGCAGCTTTAAGAGTGTTCCATAACTGTCAGCCTAAGAGAGAACCTGGACTATCTCTTTCTCTCTTAAAAGATGCTTGGTGGTGGCAATGTTCATTCATGGCTTAGGTAAGGGAAGGGTTAATTTAGCTATTACTATTATTCTAATTTGACTAAATTAGGTCTGTGTACCTAGGCCCCTGCACTACAGCAGGCTGAAAAGGAAATTAACTCAGAGATTTTTTTCCAATTAATTGGTATGCCCCCACGGGTTGCAGATGTTCACTGCAGAAACTGGGAGGTAACCACAACGCCCCTTGCTTCCCACGGTGCATCTGTGAGGAGCCTCCTCTGCTCCAGCTCTTAGCACTGACTTTATAGAAATGGTCTGGGTTTTGAGTGGGTATGTGCAGACAGTGCTTCTGCTCACGGCAAAGGTGGGAGATAAAAATCACAGTAGCAGGGATCCTCTCCCATCTTCTGGTCTTGTTCAGAAGCAGTTCCTCACTTTGAGTGTGTCGAAGGACATTACAGACTGATACGAATCCAAACCCAAATCAAAGATCCCTACAGACTTCTGCAGGGCTTGGATTGAGCCCTCTATGTTATATATCAGATTGAAAAACACCCAAAGAAAATGTAAGGGGAGACCATGGCTCTTCCTTGCTGTGCCATGCTCCTACCTGACACCTCTAGCCCTTCACCAAGCTCAGCATTCAAAAACAGAATCTCCCTGTCCTCCTAGCGTCTGCTTTGCACTGTGCTATTAAGACACGTCCTCTTGCTCTTTTTGGGTCAGTCATTACCATCACACAGTAAGACTCCAGCAGTAACATTTACATCAGAACAGACATGGACCTCAGATTTCTTGATTCAGGAGGATCACAGTACACGCTGGCTGCCTTCTCAAGTCTCAACTCCAGGCATTGTGAGAGAGCTTCATCATTCACTTCAGGCCAAAAGTTGGTTTCTAGTTTGTGGGGTTGCAGAGAAAAAAATAAATAAATTTTAAAAAAAGACCCACAAGGGCCAAAGCTGAAAATGAAAACAACCTGTCATTTAAAAGATGAAACTTGGGTCTTGATGTGGGCTGGCTGATGAGTTTTGACCCCAAACAGCTGGCAATTTGGGGTTATGGCTGCTTCTCCCAATCAGCTGGCTGCTCCTTGTGTTCTCTGGGAGGAACCTTGGAGGATATTCCCTGGAGGGTCAGTGTCTGACTCTGCTACCTAACTCCATGGCTGCAAGACCAGCCAGCACAGGGAGAAGGTGGCACATGGGCAGAGAGGGGCATATGGCCTCTCCTCCTCTGCCTCTTACTTCTGCAAGTTACTGGGGAATTTGCTCACGTTCTTCTGAATCAGGACAAAGCCTAGAGACCAGAACAGGGCCAATTCATAGGTGCCCTTGGCGGTAACCCATATTCCCCTTCGGGGTAAAGAAATCAGAACATAGGTTGTAAAAGCTCTGACTTCCAGGCTTCAGCTTTTCACTTCATTCACTTTCTGACTGCATAGCACCTGCTACCTTTTCAAGCCTCTGCAGGACTGAGTTTCTGTGGTCTTACATGCCCAGGTGGGTAAAGTACTGTGCATCTGCAGCCAGCATAGAAGGAGGGAGCTTGGCTGCCCATAGAATTGGGCATGGGGGTCATTGGTCATGTCTGTGACTGACAACAGAGATGGGTGAAGCAAATTCTTGGAAGTGAGAGAAAAACCCACCTCATGAAGTGACATTGACAAGGGGAGGCAATCCAGATGAGGAACTGGGTGGCATGGTGTTTTCTGGGAGTGAAGCCCAGCCAGGGAGCCTGACGTAGGGAATAACATGGGAACTGATATCCACTGGACTGCAATTCCCTTAAAGTGCAACGGCAGCACAACCAGTGATAATTTCTGTTTTGTATAATTGAAGGTTTCTACACAGAAGAGACAATTTTAGAAAAGGAAATAATAAATATAGACTTTTTGGTTTCAAGCAAGAACCCATTAATGCCTAGAGATAATGTCTCTGCAATGTCCAAAACACTTCTACAAAATAGATATAAGCTCTTCTATAAGTGAAGCCTGTTTCAGAAATATTAAGTTTAGCTCCAAGATCAGATGGGATGACAATGCCACAAAAAGGTAGGAATTTAAAACTTATGAAAAGATGTAATTTTTTTTTTTGTGTTACGAAAGACATGATTACTGCTTGGAATGTATTGTGACAAAATATAACTTAGGGCTTAAAACATACAGATCTGACCAGCCTTTTGTGGAGATAATAGACAAAAATTCACAATTTCAGAAAAGAGATGGATCAGTAATGCTTTAGGGGACAAAAACTGTTACTTAAGGCTGTTACATAGAACTGAACTTCACAGGGAGTAATTTAGTCCTAATTGCACGTACAAGGTTTCTCACTTCTTTGCACGGATCAACTTTTGGACAGACACAGGACAGCAAATTAGGTGAATTTAACCTCTGATTTAGGTGAGCCATTCCTGTTTCATAATTGCAGTGTATTTTACAAACAATATGGTGTTCACACCTCCTGAAGTGAGACTTGAGTCCTTTAAAACTGATTTGTACCTCAAGAGGGACTTCAGACACTCTGTTCCAGTTATTTATAGCAACCATTATAAGTCATTTTAATTGACTGAAGTTCTTTATTCCCACAGGAGAGACTGAAAGTGTGCCTCTGAGTACCCCTGCAACACAGATTTCCCAGGTAAAGATGAGAAAAACGCCCTAAATATCTCCAGGAGTTTAAAGAGTTACTAATAGATAAACAGTAGTTAAAAAGCTAAATTCAGTGGAAGGAAAAATGTAGGCACTTATAAGGAACATGGCAACTAAAAATGTGCACACTGCATGAATAAATGTCACACATATCACTGCATGAATAAATGTCACACATATCACATCTTGGGCCTCATCTTAAAAGACACTTCCGTAAAATTTTTCTGCTCACAACCATTTGTGTTTAGACAGGTGATTTGTGAGCTTAGCTAATTAACTAGGTGGCATCATTAGCACCAATTAGAGAATGTCAATTCACTGAGCCAGAGGGAGATTTCATGGCTGAGCTCTGCTGAGCTTTCACCAAACCCGATGAACTGTCCCTGGAACAAGGATGTATTGATTGATGTGGGATGGGGGTATCTTCCCTAGCAGGAGGCCAAGTTTCCTGAGGGGTTCCAGATTACCCTGGCAGCCTCACAGCTCCTTGGACCATGGGGTGCTCTTCTTGCCTGATAATGCAGAGCAGCTGGGACGGCCAGAGCATTGAGTGTTGCTGCATGTCTCTCTTTGGCTCCCCTGACAGGAGCTTGGAAATGCTGTCTTTGAGCCCACGTTGGCTCAAGGTGATCAGGACTTCCAGAGCTCTGTGGCCATTCTTTGAGTTGACGTTCTTGCTGCAGTTAGCCACCATGGACTCAATCAAGATTGTCTATACCACAGCCCAGGGAGCGTCCTTCCTGTAAGATGCAGTTTCAGTGTTTCCACAGTGATGCTTCCTACGCGTTTCCAGTCTGCAGGAAATGCAGCACAGTTTTGAGCACTTTAAACATTGGTCTGGTTCAATATGGAACCCTACCCTGAAAGAGAAACATATCCCTGAACCATAAACCCTGACTATTTGAAACTTCCCTTGTCACCATTGCAACACTAATGCATGTAATTGCTTGTAAGTGCCCCATGGCAAGTGGAGGAGATACTGCTTTCCATTAACTAGTCAGTGCTTCTCTTGTCTCATCCGCTTCTCCCACCCAGACAGCTCCAAGCAGGAGCTGTTACTGCATTGCTGAAGGGTCCACCACAGTGGATCCAACATGCATGGAAACCTAGCACGCTGGTGGGACAGTGTGCTGGGAACACCATGCACATACCTTGCTTTCCAGAAAAACCCAGCTGACATGTGGATACCCTAATGAGTCATCTAAATGAAAGTCACCAGCTGGCTGTCCCCTTTTGCTTCAGTGAGGGCCCTGTGGACACTGCACTGTGTCCACAGCCAAAAAAAGGCTGCACAAATGTGAAACAAGAACTGGTAAGTGCTTGCAGTCCCCTTTAAGTATCTTCATCCTTCTCTTCTGTCCTTACCCTGCTGCTCTGCCTTTATTCCTACCATCCTTGCCTAGGAATATAAATAGGGGATATACTCCTAGGGCCAGGTTCTCTACCACTGTAAACAAGCACAGCTCTGCTGCTTTCCACCTATGAGGAACTGCAAGCCTTCCTAATGCTTGGCTGTAGAAGTGCTGTCCTTAAACGCAAGAGTGAGTAGCTGTGCTAAAAACTAGTTAGTCCCTGGTAAAAGCATATATCATGCCACTCAGAAAAATCAGATCCAGGCTTTGTGAAAAGTGTTGGACTTTCTGCCACGTTAGTTTCAGGCAGTGCCCTCTTTTGGATGATGCAGTGTTTACTTACTTCAGATCAGCCACATAAGAAGATGTGCAAAGTGGTGGACAGTAGATAAGCTGGGGGAAGTAACACAGACAGTACTGTGTCATGGCTACAGAAGGTTTTGCTCTTTTCTAGGATATATTTATAACAGCAGATTTATTCCTGTGCAATATGTCTCCAGCATGAGCCTGTTTTCTACTGGTTTTGACAGGCTTTAACTCAAGGTCCATGAGAGGAGGTCCTGTTCTAGTGTAAGGACGCTAGACGGCTGCCAAGGGCAGCAGAGGCAAATAGCTATCCCTTTGGAGACAGAGAGCCTTGGACAGCCTGGCTAGTGCTGGGGGGACACATATGAGGACACAGCTACTCATGGAAACAAGGATTCCCTCTCATACTTTCAGCAGCAGCCAGGGCAGTGAACCCAGCTCACCAGGCTCTGCCCTCTGCTTTTGATCCCTTCTGTAAGCCATGCCCATCCCCTGGCCATGACTATCTTCCCTCAGCTGCCTCAAAGTCTGAACAAAGCTTTAGGCTGCAGAGATGCTCACTATCTTTTGCAAATGGCTCGAATTGCTGGAACCCACTGAGGGAGGATGAGGAAGCTCTGCAGTTTTGGTCCTGGAGGCAGCATCAGTCCTGTCCACCCTTTGCGGACAGTACAGTAGGTAAGACAAGTAGAGGCTCAGCGGAGGAGATTTCACAGCCATTTCATATATTTTTATATATATATAAAATATATATATAAATAGCTCCACTCTTGCAAAGTAAAGTCAAAAACAGGCTGAGGAATGCTCCTTGTATGTCTTCTAATCTCTCCCTTCTCCTCCCATCTAGCCACCGTTACCTTCTCTGTAAGGTCACGGTTCTGCCCTCCATGTTGGGAAATACTTGCTCCTCTCTCTAGTGGACTTTGACCAAGAGTTCATATTCCCGTTGGGCTGGAGGACAAGTAGAGTCACAAGTGACTCCTTCTTAGTGTCCTATTTATGAGAGTCATGAAAAGAGAGGAGGAGAATCCTTCATTTCCCCATGGACAGCTACCCACAGAGCACAGTGTAGTTACTTGGTCTGGCCAGAGATTTTACTTGCATGTTTTTTCCACACAGAGCTGAGAAACAACAGGGCAGCAGGTAAAATGGGAGTCATGGCTCGCAAGGTAGACAAACTCTGCTACAGTTGCATAATTCAGGATCTCTAACTTCTTTGCTTTGTCAGGTTGAAGGCTACACTTCAAAGGCAGGTAGGGGCTGAAATGTCTATCTTGTACCAAGTTATTTAGATGCCTAAATGCTTTTTTTTGAACAGTTCTTGGACTGCTGTTTTGACCTGTTCTAAGGACTTCTTGTGACTGTGCAGATTTATTTATCGTCTAGGCATTAGGCAGTCCAATTTAAGTTGTTAAGGTGTGTTCCTCTTCACCTTTATTTATTCCCATGAATAGGTGACCCAGGGAAACACATTACAGCTAAGCTGTTGCCAAGTTTCCGTGGTAGTATAAATTCTTTCTTTTTTGGTATGTGTTGCACTTTAGAAACACTGAATTGGCTTGACTTTCCAGGGGGTCACAAATCTGTGAAATGTCTCTCTGATCCTGTAGGCATAATCACTTAGGCAAGATATAAGCATGAGCTGGTGCTTCAATGGCTTCCATCTGTTGTAACATCCCATGGGATTTAAAGGATGGGGTTTTTTTACAGCTTGTCACTAGAAATGAGCTTAAACTAAAATCCACAGCTCAAGCACTACACTGCGCTTAGCAGGACTTCAAAGATAATGTGTTGATCCTGAACCACTCCACTCAATTTTGGATCAAACTTGCATCCAGTGCCACAAGGCTGTTTGTGTTTCCTTTCTAAGCTCTGAGCACTGAGGGCAGCAGAGGAGGGAGTTCTCAGGGTTTCAGTGCTTCATGTCCAGCCATACAAGCCCTGGCAGATGTGGCTGATTGGTGTTGCTGGCTGCTTTCATCCATCAAACAGCACAAATGGGAAATGCAACTGGAAGATGCATTTCAGTGTCTGAAATAGCCACTGTGAGCTGCATGTACTGAGCAGGACAGACCCAGGCTGAGGTCTGGAGCACTGTGAAGGGTACACAAAGAAACTAAGCTAGCAGTGTGACTGCAAAAGCAGAGATTGACCAACAGTAAAAACTCCAAAATAACAAGTCACTATCTGCTCCTAGATGCAGAGGATATTTTAGTCCAGCCTCTAGTCCAAATCTTTCTTTTGGCTGCCTGAACTCTGCTTTCACAGAGCGTTTCGGTGCACATGGACACCAAAGTGGTCCCTTTTTGCTGACTTTTGCTGATGCCTGGCAGTTTTTGACTCTAAAACCTCTAGATCAGTAATAACTCCCACCCCTGTACCCTTTCACAAAGGATCTGTCTAGTTTACCCCCTTCTGGAAGCATCCAAGGAGGCCAGGACAGGCAGAAACATTTCATTTTGGGTTTATTCTCCCCAAACAGAGTTATCTCCAGGGCCAGCTTCCGAATGGCTCCACCTTGAGGCTATGACATGTCCATCCTGAAGCAGTTCTCTAAAAAGGATAGCATAGGATAGCATTTTTTAATCGGAAGGGATGGATCTCATGAATCACCCCTTTTCACTTAGAGGAAAATGTGTGATGCCTAGTCCTGATGCAGGCTAGTGGGGAGACTCTGCCTTGGCAATGTCAGTGTTCACATGTGGTAAGCACCTGTGAGCATGGATGGGAGTATTAACATTTTGCACAGTTGCAGTACTTTATATCCCCCCACTTCTCCAGCCATATATATTAGGATGTCTGATGATGCCGAGACCATCTGGCTCACCCTCCCTAGGCTATCAGAAGCAGTACAGTAATTGCCTCACCTAGCAGCTATGGCCCCAAGGAGCCCCCTCCCTTCAGGATACACTCACGGGTCACGGGGTGAAAATTCCTGTGATAGAGGAGTGTCACAGGAAGGTATCCACTCTGGCCAGGAAGGGTGGGTGAAAGGGTTGAACCAAGGGAGCTCCAGCTGGCTTGGGGAGTCAAGGCTGACTGTCTAAAGAGGGAAGATGTCCCCAGGCTTCTGTCCCTCTGCCCTCTCCCAACTCCTGTCAGTCCTGCTCCTCCTACCCAGGCAGCTCTAGGAACATGTGTCCAGCCAGACCAGACTGGGGACTGCGGGGTAAGCACTGGGGTAGGAGTGGGGATGTCAGGCAGACGCTCTCTGTAAAGATGCTGCCAGTCTTGATCAGAGGAGGATGGTGCATGCCATTGCCCCGAGGTATCGGAAGCCATCTCTGCTCCATTTACAGGACTCAAGCGCCTGAGTTCCCCGGGGTGGCTGTCCTCTTACCATCAGTGCTCCAGTTTTGGACTCAGTTTATAACCAGATGTTAGGCCGAATTTCTGTTGTAAAGGTAAAAACCACTGGTACCGAAGTGTCTTGGGCTGCGACCTCGCCGTGGGCTTTGTGCAGGCAGATCGCGCACCTTGCTCACAGCAGCAGAGGGCTCGGTCACCGGCCCGAGCTACCCCCAAAGAGGGTGTCCCCGCTTAGCCCTCCACAAGCCACCTGCCTCCCCTCGCTGCCCCCTCCACACCTGCCTTGTCTGCTTGCTCTGCCAGCCTGGCTCGCCCTGCTCTGTCTCCTGCTTCACCCAGCTCCCAGCCGGCTGCCTCCAGCTCAGGTGGTGGGCTCTTCCAGCAGCGCCAGGGCCTCAAGGGACAGAAGACAGGGAGAGTGGGCACGGTGCCACTGGATGCTAGGTCACTGTATGCCCGCTCCCTCCCCATCACAAGTTAAAGAGCTGCCTCCTTCCCTAGAAAGGGCCCGCTGACCAGGGACAGAGCTTCTCCACGGCCCTTAGAGAGCAAGGAGGTGTTAGACCTGTCTAGGGACAGCCCCAGCCCCATGAGCATGTTGGGGAGGAGCATTTTTGTGCTCAAAAATGGACATGTTCTTGATTGCTCAACTGCTTTGGGGATTGATAATCTGGCTGCTCTTATTGCAAACCTTGGCATGTTTCAGGCTGTCCTCTCCTACAGACTGACAGGCTGCAAACTGCCAGGGAGCCTGGGAAAACTGGCTCTAAAAGGGGCACACTGACTGCCCAAGACAGACACCTCCTACCCTGTACTGAGGCTGCAGCAGGGACCAAACCTCCCCCCATGTCTCCCAGCCATGACAAGAGGAGGAGAAAGACGACAGCACCTCACAGGATGGGTTACACCCAGCCTTCATACCGCTCTGATCCACGGGTGACTCTTGGGGACACAGCCACCTGCGTTTGGGAGGAGGGACTGAACCCACCATCTTTGTGGTTCCTCTAGTTGCAGGCATTAGCCTCTGAGTTGAAGGCGGGTTTCACAGAAGCGATGCAGGAGCTGTCACGAATTCAGCATGGCGAGTACGCCCTGGAGGAGAAGGTCAAGAGCTGCCGCTGTGCCATGGAAGAGAAAGTGGCCGAGATGAAGAATTCCCTCAACACGTTCAAGGTAGGAGTGTGACCTGTCGGGCGGGCTGCATACATGTCATGTTAGCTCTGGCTGCATGGGGCAGCATTCCCCTGCCTCCATCGATCCTTCCTGCCTGTGAAGAAAAAGAGCTGGCAGTTATTTCAGATGTATCTGGTGTCTCCCCTGACTACTCCAACCCAAACATAACCCATGCCTTGGCCTGCTTAGCCTTCTCGATGGGCCGTGAGGAAGTGCTGTGAGCCACCCTGGGTGCAAGCAACCCTTGCTCTGGGCTGCATGTGCAGTGAGCGTACAGCCTATTCACAGGCTGCTGCTGGGCCACTCTGCCATAACCTCTCCCTGGGTTGGGTCTCCTGCATTTCTTGCAGGAACCAGAGCCACAAGGGAGCAGGGCATTCGTACAAAACCTTTTGAAGTTGCATTCCCACGTGGCTGGGAGGAAGTGCTGCCTGGTTTGATCTGGCCCAAGAGGGACAACGGACAAGAGAGCGAGCCTAGCAAGAAGGCTTGATGTACGCTTTAAACCAATGTCTGCCAGCATCTCCAAGCAGAAACTGGATGACTGCCTGTGAGAAGGCAGGCAGAGAAATTTTGTTTATGGCAAATTTTCCCCATGGGATTTTGCTGAGTCAATAATACCTTGTGAAGTTAAAGAGGGCTGCTTACAGGAAAAGCCCATTACTGACCCTCTGACAGGGAGAGACAGATGGCACCGGGCAAAAGCAGCCCTATGGTCCCAGATGAGCAAGGGAGACAACAAGGAGTGTAAGGGCACATGGCAGAGGTCTCAAAACAACCAGAGGAAGGGTTATCCACTGTTAGGGGGGGGAAAGGGGTTTTTAAAATTCAGATACAAGGAATTACACGAGCAACAGGAGGGTCAAAGGCTTGCTCTCCCTCTGCCTCATGCCCATGTTGACTGTCCGAACATTGAGCTCCCAGTGAAGCCACCTCCTTGCTTGGGGAAAATCCCTCTCCTTCAATTTACAAGAAACTCTTGAGTCTCTCTCCATCCTGCTGCTCATGTTAATGAAATCTGCAGGAACTTCATCCATGAGATCTCTTGGTTGAGATGGCCCGAGGGTTGCTGAGGGAGGATGTGCTGACAGGGATGTTACAGAGGGCCTCATTTCCTTAGGAAACCAGGCTAAAAAGGCAGCTCCAAGGCCTGATTGGCAAATTCTTACATATGTGAGTGATCACACTGGGTTTTTGAGTGCAACATGTGAATACACATGCTAGAGAGCTGCAGAGGGAAATGTGCTTCCTCAGGCCCACCTCTAAATAGCATTAAAGGCAGATGTCCTCCCAGTACTTTCAACTGGTGGTGGATGAAGCCCTGTGTCTCCATCTCCCACCAGTGCCTTAACCATGTGACATTACGCTGGCTTGGGTGAGTTGCCTGTAGTTGAATTAAGGATTGCCATGCTGTGCCTGGCATGTATTACACACACTGGACTTTCAAAGGAAGAGTGTCTAATTACAGAGCCACTCTCCACAGCACCCCAAAGTATCTCTAGTGCACACCAGACAGCATTCAAAGCTGTGCTATGTAAGGCTGATGGGCACCCTGGGAATCCTGTGGTTTTGCCTGTTTCTCAGGAGGAGCTCAGCGATGCAAAGTCAATGATTGAAGAAATCAGCGCCAAGCAGGAGGAAATGCAACAGAAAATTGAGCAGCTGCAGCAAGAGAAGCGGCGGGAATCACGGAAAGTGAAAGCTAAGTAAGGCCCAAACCCCAGGATTCCAGAAGTGCTAATTAGCAGCGGTGTCTGTTTTGTTTACTTCTTTACAGCTTAGTTTCTTAATCTTTTCCTAGCTAGACATATGTATCAATCCTGATTATTACTAGAAACTCTAGCCTTCAGTTCACCCCAGACTTTTAGACACATATCCCATAGAGCAAATACAGCAGAAAATCACCAACACCTAACTGGGATTTCAACAGCAAAATAGCCCCAGCAGCCCTCAGGGAAACCAGGACCTGGTGAAACACATAGACCTCTAGAGACATGTTGGGGCAGGAATGTTGTTGAAAGCCAGGAGCCTTCACCATTACAAGCTATTGCTAAACCACCCCCATTCAGACAATAGCACTTCAGTTTCCCCTTCCAAGTGTGCAGGACCCAGCGGCCTCCTCATGGTGCAGTCGTGCTCTGCTTTCCTGTCACCAGCCTTCTCTGAGCCGAGTCATGCAGGAGAATGTTTGCACGCTGCTGGGCCACACTGTTGCTGTGATGAAGCAGATGGCTCATCCACCTTGGCCCTGATTAGTCTCCTTCTGAAAGCAGTTTTGATGATAGGTGTTACAGTTTGCTTTGATGCAAACGCTTTGCAGATCTAGGCTAGCCCCTTAGCTATTTAAGCTATTCAATTAGATGAAAAATGGTCTGCAAAAGAATAGATCTGAAATAACCTTCTCCTATAACCAGTGAAAGTTACTTCCAGAGCATCGTTCATTAACTGCATTGAAGCCAATTCCATCAAAGCCAACTTATTTACTCATCTCTGCTGGAGTTGTCCTACTTCTGACTCTGTGCTTGTACTTACATTGGTGCCTGCCACAACTGTAGTGTAGGAGCTTCACCTGCAGCATTCATACTTTCCAACTGTCTCATTCTTTGTATTTGTACAGAAGAGCACAGAAAGATGATCATGGATCACAGACAGTGCCTACACCTCTCCAGGGCAGCCCATTTCGATCGATTAACCTCCCAGAACCTGTGCTGATCAATGAAGATTTTACAAGTCTTTTACACAATGTGACTTATGAAAAAGGTAAGAAGTAGAATAGGAAAATGCAGTGCCTTCCTCAGGAAAAAAAGAATTCAGAAAAATGTCGCTAGGGTAACAGGAATCCAAGTTTTCCTCAGGTGGCAGCAGCACAAAAAGAGAACAGGGGTGCTCCCCTCAGCAGCACTGCTCCTGGGTCTATGCACGCACCTCGGTACAGTGTCTCAGGACTGCAGCCTCGGTGCTGGCCTGGGTTCAGGAGATGCTGCACTGTGAATGTGGTCCCAAAAGCCATTGCTTGGGACCTCCTCCAAGGAAAGGGAAACAGGCTGGATCTTCTTCCCTGTAACGCTAGTGGTGCAGGAAACAAGGAGACCCTGATAGGAACACTACAACCTTTGGATTTGTTTCACTTGTGAACAGGGCACAGAAAGGAGGATCAGAGTGTCTGGGCTGACAGAGAACACCTGGTGTTATTAAGGGGCCATACAAGTGGTTGATTTGACAAGGGGACATATATATGCACAAGGCTACTAGTGTCACTACTCCCTGCATATACATATGGCTAGGAGAATCACTGCCCCTTGTTAGCTGCAGAAGCTCCTACCTAATGGTATTAGGGTTACACTTTGACCAGGAAATCACTGTCAACTGCCAAACAGTTGTGAAGGTTGAAATCAAAGAAAAAGTGTTGGACCAGAGCCTTTTTTTCTATATTTAACTTTGGGAGTCTAAACCGGTCTATCAGCCTCTTGCTGTTCAGATAGGAAGACACTAAAAACATATACATTTAAAATGTCAGCAGGGGCAGAGATTGGATGAAAATCATGTGCTGTTTTCTACTCTGGCTCAGAATCCAACTGGTCATGGCCCCCTCTGCCCTACTCTGAGGTGGTATGTTAGCCTGCTCCCTCACATCCCTCTTGCACACCCACCTCTCTCACCCACTTCGCCCATTGCCCCTTTCTTTCCAGTTCACCCCTCCGCTCTTCAATAAGCTGCTTTCTACCCAAAATGGCAGTCGTGTCTCTGTATGCTCTTGTTCCTCCTGCTTAGGTGCCTTCTATCCAACATGCATCTACCGAGCAAGGACAAGCCAAGACTTCCACCACAGTCATACAGCACCAAGCACAACAGTGACCCCCCCTACATTAGCCTGCCTGCAGGTGCTGCTGCAACAAAGACAACAACAAGAGCCACAACACTAAAGATCCTCCTTATTGGGGATCTAACAGGGATGTTTCCATAGTAAAAATGTGAAAGGAGGATCTAACCATACTGATCCCCCTAACTGGAAGATCTAACCATACTGGCTAGGCTTGGCAGGAGGAGGTCTGCTGTCTTCTCTTCTAAAGTTTCCCTTTGTTCTTCAACAGTGTCTGACACCAGGATCATGCCAATGGCAGAAGGAAGTGTGAAAGTTGTAGCAGGTCCAGGTAGGAAAATATCAAACTGTCAAAAAAAAGGTAGGACAATGATTCAATTAGAGTGCTTGCTTTACTGGGAATGCATTTCACAGAAATGTCTTTCACTTTTCTGTGTACCTTCATTTTCATACTTGCAGTTGAGGTATGAGGGCATACCTGCATCCCTGAAGTGCCAAATACCTGAGAGACAATATTCAGCAGGGAAAGCCTTTCTGCTGCTACTTTCGCAGGTTCTAAGTGCCTTTGCAGAAAGGAAGAATTGAGGCTTACTGATATGGCAAAGACTAATGAGAGTGCCATTTTGCCACTTGGGAAGAGATGGTTTTTGCAGTGACTAAACACCAGTAGAACTGGTGAGCTGAAGCCCACCAGCTTCCAGGTTCCTTGTAGACAGGTCTGAATAGCAATAGAGGAGTTTTTCTGGCAAAAATAAAACTTGGTCAGAACTAAGAGAAGGATATGGGAAGGGGACATTAAGGATTCTGCACAGCAAAAGGACACGTAAGAACAACCCTTAGACGTTTGCACCGTTCCCTAGAAGCACTCACTGTTCTAGACGGCTCTTTTGCTTGAAAAGAAGAGAGAACAAAAGGTACAGAAAATGCTTAATTGCAACCCAGATTCAAAGTATTTGCAATTCCAGGCCAACAGCTCTGAAGCACCTGCACCCTCCCCTACCTTCTCTGTGATTTACTAGCCTCAGACTATCAGTCCTGCTGCTGTGTATAATCACATCATACTAACAAAAATTTTAAAAGCCATGACAGGTTACATCCATTGAGAATGGCACTTAAATGCAAATTTTGATAATACTTTATGTTTCTACAGTACCTGCCAGTGTTGTATTACCAAGTTCTAAAGCGTCTCAAAGCCGCAAAGTGCAACCATTCTTGGAATAGGTTTTTTCTTTTTTAATGTGCACCAAATTCAGGAACTTATTTGGCCTGAAAATAGATGTTGGAAGAGTGAAAACCTTGTTCTGCAAAAGTGCTTGCCAACTGCACTTCTGTTTGTAAATTCACGAAGCTACAGCCCTTCTGAAGCACAGAGAATGGTTCAAACTCTCCTTCCAGTACTTCAAATGTATGATAATGCAGGTGAACTGCCTGCTGTAGCATAACCTGTCAACTGAAGTTTCAAGATCTGTATGGCTGTTTGTCATTGCAGGAGCAACCATAGAGACAGATGACAGCCTCAAGCCTTCCTTGGCAACGGAGGGGCAGCCGAAAGCACATCTGCCGTCAACAGTATGGAAGCAGCCCAAAGACACCAAGGACTGGGGAGATGAATACATTTCCAAAGAGCAACCAGAGAGAGGGAAAGATGTGGGCCAAAGCAGATACAGCTCAGCAGACAACATTATATGTGAGCCCTCTTTGGCTGGTAAGGACAGAGTGGGAAACTCTGGCTAGAGAGGCACAAAGCTGTATGCATATCTGGTGTGAGCTGGTTGGTAATCAGCTTCTACAGAGGGAGACACATAAGCCAGTTTCTCCTGTTAGGGGGGGGATATCTCAGGGCCTCAGTAGCCAAGATTTCTGGCCTTTGTATTTGCTGGTCTGTGCCATTGACACAATCATTCTGCACCCAGGGCATGCATTCTCTTTTCCAAGACCTGGCAGTTCAGAGTACTGATGGGGTTGTCACAGTGTAGTTGCTTAATCGGGTGAAAAATACTCATTCTGTAGGAAACTGGATGTGAATCCTTGGTATGAGTTGTTTTGCCTTTGATTGCTTGTTTTGTTATTGTTAGAAAAAATGGTATTCATAGGGGAAAACACATTTCCTTTGGAGCTTTCTTAGCAAATAGTGGCTGGGGCATGCTGTAACATCAGGCTAGAATTTTATATTTTGGGGAAAGTAAACACACAAAGACGAGATATTGGTGTCACTTTTCAACAGTTTCTCTAATTATTTAATGCCAGATCATCAGTCTAACTGGCTGTCCTTGAGGTCAGCATTTCCTTATTTTTAAACTTTATCTTCTGGAAGCCAAAAGGCAGAACATCGCTTTGGAGCTGCTGGAGTCAGAAAGGAAATATGTTATTAACCTTTCCCTAATCCTGAAGATCAAGGCGACATTGCAAGGGCCAGATGTGAAAAGAAGCACCAAAGAGAGAAGGTATTTGATTTTAGTGTGCTCTCTTGGGGAGTTTCGTCCAGTCAATATTCTTTCTGCATCATCCTCTCTCCCACTTTTCTTTCATCCACACAGTGATCTTTGAACACTTAGAGCTTATTTCTAGTTGAAAATTGGAGGCACTGGAAGGCTTTTGCTTTGGTTAAAGACTTTTCTGCCTGTCCTTGCATCTTGTCCTCCTTGCATCCCAAACTGTTTCACTACTACAGCACTTCAGTCTCCTATTCTTCTTTCGCATGCCACCTGCTTGGGTGGGAACAAAGCGTGGTACATTCACTGCCTGCTTCTCCCAGTCCACAGCTCCAGCTCTAGAAACTGCTAGTGGCTGCCATCCGTCAGGTACTGATATATAAAGACACACACATCTGTATATATCAGACATATATATACAGATACACACAGATACAAGACCAACAGGAGTGACTTGGCTTAGCAGTTAAACCCAGCTCTTTGCAGAGGCCCCTTGGCAGCTATATTAGTTCCCAGGGGGGGATAATTCCTACAGCTCTCCCCATTCACTCAGCTTTGGCCTGGGAGTTCACAGCCTGTAAGCACATCTGGGTAGCCCAGTCCTTGCTAGCTCTCTCTTTTTTGTCTCTTTCCACTGTCCCTAGGGAGTCCCACATCCACAGAGTCACTTGATAGAAATCCAGTGTGGGACATGTGGTATATGGGCTGACACGGACTCATTTAAACAGTTACACAACACACACAGTTCAAACTGAAGCATGATAGTGCAAAGTGAGTTTTATTTTTACTATTTTTCCTTGGGACCTTTCCATCTGGAAAAATATTTCAATATTTGATATCTTCACTCTGATTCTGGATTAAATCAGCATAAAATGACAGAAAGGCAGTAGCACATTTTGACTAGCTCTGCATCAAAGGCCTAGCTTGTTAAAGGGCCTGACAAATAAGACAATATACAAAGCTGGGGAGCTCTCCTCCAAGCTCAGGAGGGATGGCTCAGGACCAAGGTCCTGCTTCATTAGCCACAGCAGTGTTGCCTCAGGCCTTTTAGTTCAGCAGATTCCGGTCAGCTACACAATGCACTAGGGAGCCAGCCTAAGAAACCTTCAAAACACTGTAGTAATACCCTACCAGAGGGCGTACCAGCATGTACATAGCAGCCAAAACAGGACCTCCTTGTGCTGTCAGGACTCCAATAAAAGTAGTTAATAATACCCATGTTTAAAGCAAGCCTGTGCTGACCACCTGAGAATGCACACTTCAGCAGTACGCACTTGGGGCTGAGTTTCTGCTCTGTGTAACCAGTCTGATATCATCTCCCTTCAGTTTCTTCCCCAACTCTTTGCGGTACCTGGTCCAGCAGCATGTCGATTTACTTCACGCTCTACAGGAGCGAGTTCTGAGCTGGCCACGACAAGGGATCCTAGGAGACATCTTCCTGAAGTTAACAAATGATGAGGTATGTTACAGACCTCTCTGGACAAATCTGTTGTGATTCATGTTGTGCTGACGGCTTACAGGTGGGTGGAGATACTGTGCAGCAGAGGGTCTGTGCTGTGAAGCTGTGGCTATGGAAAGGCCTTTCAGCCAGCCTCCTTTGAGCAGAGTCCTGGTGCATGGTAACCCCTGTATTGTAGTACTTGTTTGGTCCGGGAGCCCACATGCCAGACCCACCTGGGGGCATGCAGCTATATAGCACAAGCCATATAATAAATGCATGAGATGTAGACTGTTGCAGGAGCCATACATGAGCCATGACAGCTTGGACACGTGTATTCACAGCGAGGATGCAAAAAGAGCATGTTTCTTATGCTCCTCTTTCCCAATATACTTTGCTCAGAGTTATGACAAGTGGGTGGGCAGGCCCCTTATCCTATGTGGTTTGTAGCCCTAGGTAAAACAGCATCTTCTCAGGGTGAAGGTCTGCTCAATGCTGGTGAGCAGTGGGACCTCTCCTGGAAGGATATCTAAAAACTCATCTGATGCTTTATAAATTTTAAGAGTCTTAAATAAGAAAAGCTTCTTCCTCCTCAGCCTCTCTACTCTTTCCAACTGCTATAAAGCTTTAGATACTGTGCTCAACAGCTGAACACAATTTATTAAACAGTCTTTCTTGAGAAGACAGACTGAGAGAGGTGGGGTTGTTCAGCCTGGAGAAGAGAAGGCTCAGGGAGACCTTATAGCAGCCTTCCAGTGTCCTACCTACAAGAAGCTGGAGAGGGACTTTTTACAAGGGCATGTAGTGACAGGGCCAATGGCTTTAAACTGAAAGAGGGGAGATTTAGATGAGATCTCAGGAAGGAATTTTTCACTATGAGGGTGGTGAGACACTGGCCCAGGTTGCCCAGGGAAGCTGTTGAGGCCCCATCCCTTGAAGTATTCAAGACCAGGTAGGATGGAGCTTTGAGCAATCTGGTCTAGTGGGAGGTGTCCCCGCCCATGGCAGGGGGTTGGAACTAATTGATATTTAAGGTCCTTTCCAAACTAAACCATTCTATGATTCTGTGAGATCCCACACCCTGAAAGCTTCACACAGCAGCTCTGCTCACAGGAGTGATGATGGAGAATCAACAATTTCCTGTTCTGGCTGGCTGTGACCAAAAATCTCTCTTAAGTTTCTTTATTATTTTCTTTTTTCCATTTGTAAGAATAATTTTCTGGACTACTATGTTGCTTACCTGCGGGACCTGCCAGAATGCATCTCTCTGATCCACGTGGTGATCCTGAAGGAGGTAAACTTCCTGCCTGCTTCACAGACACATAATGGCAACATACAAGCCTGGATCTTTTCCTGTTATGCCTGCCCACGATAGGACTCTTCTCTGCCAATCCACTTGTTCTGTTACCAAATGCCAGTTTCCTTGGCATGCACCTAGAAGAGGCAGCTTTAATGCATTCATCAATGTGTGTAACCCAAGCTATATTTCTGCTGCGACATGAAATAATGTCTCAGATCAAACCTCCCAGAAAGCTTGCCTATGTACATGCTATCCAGACCTGTCCCAGGCAAACAGTGGCTCCTGGAAAATGGAGGACTTATCCAAACAGGGAGACCAAGAGTGAGGCTCTAAGTGCTTTAGAGAGAAAACAGTCTCTACTGTCCAGCTTCAGGTATTCGGTCTCACACCCTTGATTCTTGGTTTAAACTATGAAAGTTAAATATAAAGGTAGTTTTAAAGTGCAATAACTAAACCACACTAGCTCACTTCCAAGGCATTTAAACTTAGAAGTAAATCTCATCTTGTTCAATTCATTCAGGCCTAATTCAGGCCTAATTCAGGCCTAAACTAAGAACTTAATTCTGAACAACAGCACCTATCTGGGGTTTCAGTGAAATTTAACTAGTGCATCCCTACTTACTTAGGCTAAGTGTCCCTCCTAGATAATCCTCAAACTAAGGAATTTCATCCTCAGGACTAGTATTGGTGGTGGAAGGACTTGCAAATATCCCTTCCAGAAGTAAGATGAAGACCCGTGTACTATCACCACAACTGCCACTTGACTGGCATGCGCGTGTGAACTGTTTTAAGTACTTACAGCATAACTACTCATTAAACCACAGAAACATTTGGAAGCAGACATGTTCTGTGGGGGGGAGAGACTCTGAAGTTGCTTTCTCTATTTCAGGTAGAAGAAGAAATCAAGTCTGACCTCTACATTTTGTTCTTCCATATAGTCCAGCGAATCCCTGAATACCTTATTCATCTACAGGTAGGGCCCCAGGATGGAACCTGTCTTGTTGAACTCTTATCACAACATGTGGCTTTTAACTCAGAGCTAGTATTCAGGCCTGTAGTGCTTCTGGCTAACCCAGTGGGCGCTGTGAAAAAAACCTTTGAAAGGGAAACCAGCTGAGAATGGCTTAATTTTCATCATTTTCACCTGAATCTTGCTTCTATTTGGCAATTTCTCCATTTGGCCTGACAGAACTAACTTTTGTCCCCTGGGAAGCCAAAAGCTCTGCTGCTCTACTGTGAGCTCCAACCTAACTCCCGTAACAGAACTGGCCTCTTTGCTGAGTGGTCCACATGCCTGTTAGTTGAGAGACTCAGAGGGCTAGAGGCTCCTAAGGCCCAACAACCTTTCCTATACAGAGCTTGCTGATAAAAAGAGTTCTCGTTCTCAGGATGGTTAGCTGAAACATTTCAGACAAGGCAAATGACACAGAAAGCAAGCCCTATAAAAACAAGAGATTGGTTTATTTATCCAATGCTAAACTCAAACGGTGCATCACCCACACATTCCATGACTACATTTACAGTGGTTACTTGCGTATTTGCACTGGAGCAGTAGGAGGCAGGCCCCATCAAAGTCATGCAGAAACTGGTGCTACCTAGAAAAGCTCCCACAGTGCTGTGCTATGGACAGTCCAGAGCACTAATCCATCGTCCCAATAGCACCTTCTCCCCAGAAGGGTTTAGGACACCCTCCAAACAGCCTGCTCTCCTCTGTGCCCCAGAATGTCCTGAAGTTCACGGAGCAAGAGCATCCTGACTATTACCTGCTGCTGGTGTGTGTGCAGCGCCTCCGGGTTTTCATCTCACACTATAGCCTCCTCTTCCAATGCAATGAAGACCTGCTTATACAGAAGAGGAAAAAGCTGAAGAAGTAAGCACAACATCAGCTCTTTCTCTCTATCACCAGGGAAAGGGAGGTGTGGGGGAAGCCTGGAAACAGGGGCTTTAGGTGCAGACAAGATCAGGCACGTTGCTCTGTTGAAATAAAACAAATCCCTTTGCATATGAATACTGGAGAAGGCCCACTATTGGCATTTGTCCTCCAAACTGAGGTCAGATTTGGGGTGGGCCCTTGTGTCTAACTCCAAGAGTGAAAGGAAAATCAATTTAATTCTTCTATACATAGCAGTCACGTGTTTCCTGGGAACATTTGATTCCTTAAAGTGACAGCAAAGTCACTCTCCAGTGGGAGAACACATGGGGACTGTTTTGGCAGCTTGGGGCCCTGGTGAATGCCAGGTCTGTTGCCTGAAGCCCTCATAGGCTAAGACTGTGAAAGAATAATGTTATTTTATTTTACTGGGGGAGTTGGGTGGGAGAAACAAAAGCCTCCAATAATGTGTTGGAGATAAACTGTGATGGAAATGACCCTGAATATAGATTCTAAAGTTGTGGTTCAGAAAAGTTCCTTGAAATCACGACTTTACTAAAATAAAAATCTGGTTGCCTTTGCTCCTTGTGATGATTCACTGGGGGAGTAGGACAAGATCAAACTTCAAGGAAAGCTTCCACATATGGAGGGTGGTAAAGGGCTGGAGCAGACTGCTGGGGAGGGACTGCTATCAGGAGAGGCGTTAAGAACAGGACAGAAAGCAGGACGCCCTGCTGGCTGGGACAGACTAAGTGGAACAGGTCTTTTCTTGGGGTGGGAAGAGATGAATGGGAATATTAAGGTCCCTCCCAGCCCTGTTTTCTGTGATTCTACATGCTCGTGCTCATTCCCTGCCTTATTTCTTAGCACGACGATGGATTTCTCCTCCCTCAGGTCATCCCTGGTGAAGCTGTACAAAGGTCTCACCTCTCAGTGTACAAGCCAAGAGGTTTCTCCAACACCCAGTGCAACATCTATTCGGGACAGCGGGATCCACTCTGAAGAGACAATACAGTCGTTTCCACCAGCACCCTCCTCTGGCACGCCAACCCCGTAAGCCTATTGTCCTAGTAGAAGGCTTTCAAAGTAGGCTGAAAACTCTCTCCTCACACATACTATGGCAGTGACACTAGGCAGTTACAGACTGCTATTTCCAAGACTACTCCTTGTATACCTGTAGAGAAATGCAGAGCTGGCTCCTTCCTGCTATCCACTGCCATGTGGCTTACATGTAGGAACCCAGGGAGGGTGTGAAGTCCCCTTCTCTGGAGATCTTCAAGACCCGCCTGGATGCAGTCCTGAGTGATGTGCTCTGGGCAACCCTGCTTTAGCAGGGGAGTTGGACTGGATGATCTCTAGAGGTCCCTTCCAACTCTGACAATTCCGTGATTCCGTGATTTCAGAGCTCTACCCAGGGGTGTCAATGCTCTTGCTAGCTGTCTTAACAGTGTACCAGGGAGGTGCATTTATTGGTGTAGGCCTGGCAGCAGTGTGCATAGTAACAGTCCACAATATTAGCTGTCAACATTACAAGAGCTAGGAAACACGACCAAGGTCTCAGACAAGCCAAAAAATTACTTTTCCACACAACATGTCACTGAACGATGGGACTGTCACAGATCCAAGTATAAATGGGTTCAAAAAGTCACAAGACTAATTCAAGACAGGGCTGCTGGTAGAACCCGGCAAAATCTTTTGCCATTTCTAGCCTACTGATAGGTGCCAACCGAGATGATGATCAGAGAAGTGCACTAGACTTGCCTTCTTTCTTATGTCGGCAATTTGTGGCTGTTATGCTTCCTTACATCATTTGACACTGACAGCAATGACAAGCAGCTTGGCTTCACCATACTGAGTCCCCCCCCCTCAAGTGGCAGCATTATTAGATCAATCTCTGGCTTCCTTCTCACCAGACTACCCAAGCCAGTCTCCCTCCCTTCATAGACACAATGCACAAGGTCCCCATCTTCGTAGTCTCAGATGGCAGGTCCCCAGTTTCCCCACGTTCATCCTGAACAGAGGGGCCAACATGGGTCCAGGTGCAGCCCCATCAGCACTGAACAGAAGGGGGAAAAATAACTCCCCAGGCTCGGCTGGCCATGCAGCTCCTAATACAACTCAGGTCAGACCCTTGTCTGCCATGAGAGCATGCCTTCGGCTCATCTTTACCCTGGCATTGGCTATAACCCCAAGTTCATACCAGGGCTGCTGCTCAACCCAAATCTCCCAGCCTGGTCTGATGCTTGGGGTTTTCTTGCCCCAGATGCAGACCTCTGCACATCTTGAACATCACAAGGTTCCCCCACACCATTCGTTATATCCCCAGAAGATGACAGTGGGGCTTTCCTGACTAGTGGTCATTAAAGGTTGTGGATGTACAGACCCTGCACCCAATACCGCATCCAATGCAGTACTCTCTGCTGACTTACCTGGAACACATGTAGGGTAGGAGCCCTGCAAGTACTCCTGTCACACTTCTGGGGACAGAGTCACCCTACCCAAGAGAGGAACCTTGTCCAGGGGAACCTTGTCCACCTGAAAAGTCAATCAGACCACAGCCCCTACATTACAGAAAGAAAAGAAAAAAAAATAATCCAAAACGCAGACAAACAAGAGAGAGATGAAGCAGTTGGCTTCTCATCTCAGTTTCTATTCATTTCATGGTGTAGAGCACAAAAGTCAGCCAAACCTACCGGATAAGCAGTTCTACCCCTGCAAATTTGCTCCTGCTGAAATTGCCAGCCAGGCAATTTCAATTAGTGGCAGCTCTGTTACTCTTTTCCAAGATATGACAAAACTGTTTCACCTTAAAAGCAAGAGAATGGGGCTAGGGGAGTGAAGGGGGAGGGGGGCTTGCTGTGCTGTCTCTTGGTCATCCTTTAGTATTCCACTTCCTGTTTTTGTTTTTGTTTTTTTGGTTTGGTTTTTTTTGTTGTTCTTTTGTTTCTTATTTTAAGGCATTTGATGCCCCAGATGAAGAAACCCCAGCCAACCATGATGGAGAACATCCAGGCTGTAAAGCCCCCTGACTGGGAAATGGAAAGTAGAAAACATGAGAGGCCAGAGAACATCCTTGCATCCTCTCAGCTCACAGAGCAGGAACTCAAGGCTCTGACAGCCCCCTTACAATCCATCCCTGAAATGGAGTATGAAGCACCACCAGCTGATGCAGTGGGGAACACTGAGAGAGCTATCAGGACCTCTGTGGAGCTGCTGCAGGATGCGAGGAACTTTGTGCCAAGCTACGAAGAGTTTGACTACCCTGGGGAGGTTTTCACCCTGCCAGGCCCCTATGAAGATGATGCTTTCCAAAACCTCGCTCTCTTTGAGAATTGCTCCCCAGCCTCTTCTGAGTCCAGCTTAGACATTTGCTTCCTTAGGCCTGTTAACTTCACATCAGAACCAGAGAGGACAGATCATGCCTTACAGCCATTGCCTAAGAGCTGCACTCCTGTAAGCAGCAGTACTTACAAGCGTGAGATGTTCCACAGCAAAGGCAAGCAGCTGAGCAGGTCTCTGAAGGAGCTGCCGAGGAGCGCTGAAGGTGTGAGCACCAGACTCTACAGCACACGGAGCAGCAGTGGGAGCCGCCTGCAGCAGAAACAGGAGAGGAATGTCCAGCCTCACATGATCTCAGCCTCATCTCGAAGCTCCCAAAGGAGCTACTTCCCCCCCGCAAGAGGAGCGGGTGAAAAACAGAGCTTCTTGGAAGTAAGGAGGCTTAAATAGGAAGACAAAAAAAAAAAAAAAAAAAAAAAAAAGGCACATGGTGGTGCAGAAGCAGCGGCAGCAGCAGGAGAAAGATATGAGATACAGTTAGAGCAGAACAAGCCAAAATAGCTTCCAAGTCCAAAAGACATTCAAAGTCCTCATCTGCATGTACACGACCAAGGGAGGGACAAGACATCTCCTTTTCACACACACATCTTTCCCAGGGGCAAGCACGGGCTTGAGGCACACAGCTGGCTGAGCGACAGCTAGAACACCCTGAGACAAGCCAGCCACTCACCTGTCTCTAGCTGTCACTAAGCTTCTCCCACAAGTAAATGTTATATCTGATCAGGGTCACTAAGCATAAAGCTGTTTGAAATTAGTGCGATGGTGGCACCCAGTTAAAAAGGTGCCTTTCCACCTGCTGTCAGAAGTGCTGAGTTAAGAAAACCAATGGATTTAGTATCAGATCCTCAGCCAGTGTAAATCAGCATGACTTGGCTGAACTTGGCCCATTTACACCAGCAAGGATCTGGTCTTTGGATTTTGTTTCACCTGTGTTTGTTGCACAGATCGTAGAGCCATGCTAATAGTCTGTGTGAAAAATAAACCAGAGCCCAGCAATTGCATCCCTCAGCCAACCAGTGTCGTGGCAGGCAGCACTCTAGTCTTTCAGGGACACCAGGTCTTGCAGGAACAATGCTTCTGTAGTCTGCAGTGCCTGCTCAGAGTCAGCTTTGAGCTGTCACAGTCAGGGGAGAAAATGCTCTTCATACTTCCTGGGGAAGAGGCCAAGGGTGCTGTGAGGGGCTTCACTAGTTGTCTCAGTGCTGCCTGGAGAAACACCCTCCTCTTAAAATAAGGCAAGATGCAGGTGAGGCTGTAGATGCAGGGGATGATAGGAGGAAGGTTCTAACAGCCTGACTGAAAAGGCAGCAAGGAAACCTTGAAAGAAAAGAGAAAGAAGTGAGTGAGGTGGTGGATGGCTGAGCAGGGGAGATAAGGCAGAGGGAGAAGAGCCATGGGGACACAGGTCCCCCATAAACAGGAGCCTGTGAGTGCTTTGGCACTCACCTGCACAGAGCTATGGCTCACAGCAGGGTGCAGATGTGGAGCTAGTCCAGAACTGCAGGACATCTTCTCCCCCACAGAGCAAAGAAGACTACTGTGGCAGTGGTGGGGAGAACTGGAGAAAAGGGTCTTGGCCAGGGCCTTGCTAGGAGGAACTCAGCACTATCTTGAAAGGGGCAGAGATTTTTTTCGTGGCACATTTACCACAAGGTGGTGTGCTAATGAAGTCTTCTGTCCCACAGATACAAAACCAGGCAGCAGCAGAGCCAATAGAAGTCTTTCACACCATATCAGCTCAAGAAGCCTGAAGCCTCACTGCCATAGGGTAAACAGAGCTCCTGAGCAAGGAGGGGGTGGGAAGTTCCTTCAACTCCCCATGCTGGCTTACTCCCTCGTTGGCAAAAGGGGCTAGTAAGCTCCCCCTAAACAAAAAGCTTAGCAAGGAAAGCTCCAGTGCCCTCTAACAGTGCTTATCTCTCTACTCCTCTGCCACTGCCTCTGCAACAAGCACTTTGCAGAGGCACCAGTGCTGCGCAGTCCTGGGTGACCTGTTGTCTCCCAGCCTTGCCAGCACCTCCTCACACACCAGGTCCTTCCTAGCACAGAGAGAAAGAGAGAAGGTGACAAGGATGTGAGGTTGCAAATGCTGGTTAAATTGTCTTTTCCCTTTTAGGAGCTCCATGCAGAAGACAACACCAGGTTCTGCCAGAAGGATGACAATGAGCAAACATCCTTCAGCGACCACAACCCACGGCACGAGCCCAAGGGGGGTTTCCGGAGCTCCTTCCGCAAGCTCTTCAAAAAGAAATAAGCAGCCCCAAGAAAGGCAGGCCACAGCCTAAGCGCGACAGTGCTTCCCCGGGTCCCTGAGGGTGGAGACAGACAAGCGAGGCCCCAGGCTGCCCCCTGACTAACACAGTAGGTGGAGGGGTGGGGGAGAGGAGACTGTCACAACTGCCTTACAAATGCATCCTGCTCTTCCTAGCACAGGGCAGGGCCAGGCTGTGGGTTGAAGTGGAGCTCAGCCAGCAGGTCCAATAAGCACAGGAACTTGCTAGCTTTCACCCCTGCCTGACTTAACTTTCCTTGGAGTTTTGGAAAGCTTTGGTCAAACCCCACTATCTTCTCCTCCCCTTCACCCCCCAACGCTGTTTGATTTGCCATACATCTTTGCTCTTTCGAATTTAAGCCAGGTCTAATTTGGGGTCACCCACAACAGAGGGGTTACCTTTGGTAGCCTTGGCATCCTGGCCAGAAGTCTGAAGTTCCCCTCTTTCCTGCACTTCACAGAAGAAAAAAACACCATCAAAGATGTCTTCCAGGAGGCCAGCTTGCATTACGCTGCTGGTGTGAGAAGGTCTAATAAGCATCAGCTGAAGCACCTGGGCTTTGTACTGCTTTAATCAGCAGCATCCTTTCTTTTGGACTTCTGTCAGTCCCCAAAATTCTCCTTCACCTTTTTTGCAGCATGCTGTTTCTTGACTTGCCTCCTGCTGTATGATTCTCTGCTCCTGCTGTCGGAATTGCCCATGTCTCCAGGCAGGTGATGCAGGCTGAGCTCAGGGCCTGCCACAAGAGACAGAGACTCTTCTCCGCCCTGTCCCCACTGTGGATCAATGTGGACACTGACACAGTCAACCAGTGTCATGGCTCCTTGTCTGTAACACAACTGAAATACTCTCTGCTAACTCGGTTTGGCCTGAAACCACCTTACAAGCCCCATCATGTGCAGCACCCTGCTTCGGAGCAGTTCCTCTAGCTAAAATTAGGACACTAGGGCAGGAAAGTCGAGGATGTCCCACATTCAAAGTCAGAAGCCCACCTTCTTGTGCGAGGATACTTTTTCTCCCACAACAATGCCAGACTCACGCCCTCCTCGTCACAGCTCGGCACGACAAACCCTCAGTAACACTAGGCTCTGCAGAAGACTGTAGCTTTATGTATGGAGAGAAACAAAGCCCTCTGGAGCCATAACCACTTCACACCCCAGCAGCAAGAGCACCATCGGCACAGGGCTGTGGTGCCAGCTGAAGGTGGGGCATGCCGAGGGCAGCTTCAAGAGGAAATGTGGTTTTGGGCAGGATTGGGACACTAGTCTATCATAAAGAACAGCTTCACCTGAAGAGGTTGTGAACTGCCTCTGGGGGACCAACAGCAATGTCTCAGGGGAAATACGCAAGGCTGTGAGGTTAGGGGCTTGGGACTCCAACACCACTGAAGGGTGACTGGATCTGGTGCCAAGAGAAGGGCACCCATCACGCCACCTGGCTCTCCTGTCAGCAGCAGCAGTACAGGAAGGGCAGGCTCCTTGGCAAACACCCACTGCAGATGCAGAGCCTCTAGCTGCCCCACAGTGCCGACTGACCTGCACCGACTGGCTGCTTCTCCTTCTCTGGTGGAGCAAAGAGGTGTGTGTGAAAAGGGTTATCCACCTAAGGCAGAAAAGTCCAGCCTTTACCTCAATCACAGTTTTTCCCAACATTTCAAGAAGGTGACCAAGCAAAACCCCAGAGAATAAAATGTTTTAGCTGATGCCTGCCCCATAGATCTTACTGGACCCAAAAATCCACTACTTCTTACAAAAAGGAAAAAAGCATCATCCTTCTCCCCCCACCCCAGCTTTTGGAAACTATTCTGGGAATTATTTTTTTTTTAATCTAGGGTTTTTAATGACAAAAAAACTTCCATCTCTTTCCTCTCCTTCACATCCTTATTAAATTACAAATTCCCTGGCCCTTCCCAGTCAGGGCTGCTCCATCCTGACCAGCCACTGCATCACAAAGACACTTCCTAGGACTCTGCAGCTTTCAGTCAGACAGGGCAGGGCCAGCACAGAAATATATATGAAGAGCCAGATACTTGTAACTAAAGCATCAGCAAAGCCTGTTTGTTCTGCAAAGGAATCAGCCATAGACAGAACTATTTGTTTGTCTGTGGCACCAGAGTTATATCACTATGGATGAGTTCCCACTGAAATGCACTGATGCTGTCAAGGGCTCTGATGTTTGTGTCTTTGGTGTTTCATATATAATGACATAGAATGAACTTGCTCCTCACACCTGCCAGGACAGAAACAAACATAGGGGAAAACCTACCTGCTGACATATCCTGGGTGAGGAAACCCTTCCAAAGTGGCAGACCCTTGCTTGTAAAATGCACGTGGATTTTAGCTTCTATTTTAGTGACTTAAGGCATGGTCAGAATTGATGGTTATTTCTTTCTGTTCCTGTATGAGTTCTCACTTCCTGGCTTATACCTGTCATTTGAGACGTCCTTCTACCTGCTCAGAATCTGCAAATGTGAATAAAATGAATGAATGATGCTCAGCACTGTACAGAAACACCCAAACTCTTGCAGGATCCAATCCAGCTTCACCTTTAGTGTACATTTGTGCTCTGGATTTTTTTTTCCTGTGCCAAATAAATGTTGATTTTAAATAACACTGTCGTCTCTTTGACTGAATCAGCTACAAGGTTGCATCCATTAAATGAAGAAACACATGTTTCTCAGGTCCCTTTCTGAGGCAACATGACCTACAAAATCCCATTCCCCTGCACATACAGGCACGCCAGAAGACTGTTTACACACACCTGGTTCCAAGACCCTTACCCAGCACTCAGCTAACTCACTCTCTAGGCTTCTGGTTAAGATCCTGTTTGTTGGTGCAGCTCACTGTGACATTTTTTCAGCTCCTTCCTCCATCTCCTCTACTCCTTCCATTGCTTCTGTTACAGACACATGAGCTTTCACAAAAAAATCCCACGAGCCTCTCACACCACTGTAATTTCAACTATCCAACTCTGTAAGAGATCTTAATATTTTGCTGTATATCACTAATACCAAATTTAATTCCAGTTCTGACTATCAACACCATCCTACCTTTGTCACGTTCTCAGCAGGTCCAAAACAGTGACACCACACACAGGGACGCTCACATCTCGCCACACCACGCGGCACCTGCAAGCATGTGTAGCATTCCTCCTGCTGCTCTGTAGCTCCCGGCAGCATTGTGTCACTTGAGGACAGTGCTCTCGGGGATCAGAGTATGCCAGTAGAGTTTAGAATCAACAGCCCAAATAGAGTTTTACTCCTGTGCACATCTACTAAGGGTTTTTCTCCTCAAATCCCCTTCAATGATAGGGATGCAGACCTAGCTGCTGGGGAACTGCCAGAGCCTGAGACAGCCCCAACAGGACACACTCTCATTGTGGCTGTGACTCTTCTAGATCACCTCTCCATGACTACGCTCCCTGCTTGTCAGCCACCCTGGACTCTCCTCTAATCATGGGTAACTTTGACTTTCAGTGCTGGTCAAACATATCCTCTCACCATTCCTCAAAGCTGAGGCTTAGCAGCTGAGGTTACTTCCAAGTTTATATAATTTAGGCACTTTCTCCTACTTTTTTTCCCCAGAGTTGCAATGTATCCTGGCTTCCTCAACAAGTTTTTAAAGAGTATTTTCATCTGTATTACATGTACAAGTATAAATATTCCTCAGTAAGGGCAAAAACCACTGTCCTGGTTTGAGCGACACAGGATTAAATTATCTTTCAGTAATTTTACTTTTCAGCAAGGTCTCTCCTATTTTTTAAGGGAAAACTGCACTTTTAGGAGCCCCTTGTGTCTGAATTACGACAATATTTACTTTACAGCCAGCTGTGGCATGTGGGTTTCAAGGTCTCAGTGTTTTTGAGCCTTGCCAGGTGCAGGGGTGAGGAGGAGCGAGGCCCGGTCACTTGGCCCAAGCTGCCGACAGGGTTATTCCATACCGTGAACAGCACATTCAACATAAATTGGAAAGTTTGCTGAGGGTTTTTTTCTCTCCCTTGATGGCTGCCACCCTGAGAACTCCCTGCCCCGGTGCCGGAGCCCTGAGCCCTTCCCTTCCTCCCGAAGCCCCAGCGCTCACAGGGTCCCACAGGGGCTGTCCCTGCGGGGAGGGCCCCACATTCCCTGTGGGGAATGGGCTGGGTACAACCCCTGCCTATTTTAGATTGGTATTGGGCTCAACACTGGTTCTTTAGTGTTATTAATGTTAATTAGTTAGTCTTATTCTATTAAATCCTTGGGTCTCCTTGTTTTTTTCAGATTCCCCTTCACAGGTGCTGAGGGATCACTGGGTCCATAAGACAAAAAAACATTTGCAGGTTCTTCAAACCGTAACAACCACTGCAACAGGTGCCAAAGAATCCAGTTGCTTCTTCCAAACTCTGTGGTGATTTGTTAGGGCCTGTTGCTCGTGCCTAAACAGGAGAGGAGCTGGGGTATGGGTAGTACTGTCTTTGGCTGATATTTGGTTTTGTGGGGTGGTTAGATGGAGGAGGCTACCGTGAATATCAAGCAGTTTCTACCTGCAAGTGGCTTTTCTTTATTCACTCTGTTATTTAAAGCAGATCTTTTGCCTATTGCCAGATACAAGATATTAAACATAATGATGTCCCTTTACTTACTGTGAACTGATTCAACAAGGAGACAAGATGTAGCCTCTACCTAAAAATTTCCTACCTAAAAAATTCATACATTAAAATGAAAGAGACAGTATTTACCCATAAATTGCAGATACTTTGACACAGTAAGTTTTAATGGAAAGCTGCAGAGCTGGAGTAACACTCACCATGAATAATCCTGGGGCAGAGAACATCACAGTTAAAAGATGCTATTTTGTGTTCCTTACTGTAAGTACACCTTGCTTACTTGTCTTCTGCTCACAAGCAACTGTGTCTTAGTATTTTTACTATCCTGAGCAAAATAAACATCTGTAGCAGACTCATGATTGTCCTTAGTGTAAAGCACACAGTATTTAAATGTAAGGAAGCCAGTCTCAGACAAGGACTTTCAGAGTATCTTACATATTCAAAAGTGTACACTTCTGGGATATGTAAGGCGCTTTTTTTTTTTTTTTTTTTTTATTATCATTAGAACATATCTTGCAATGCCAAAAGACAACAGCCACTATTAAATTTTCACTTAAATGCAATCTGAATACCACTGAAGACACAGCATACAGGTATCACCTACAGACAGTTACATACAAAGGTCATCATATGTGCCAGCTAAATCTACCCCTTCTCTTTCTCCGGTTTTTCTTTTTACAACTGGACTGACATAGCTTTTAACATTCACTCATTTTGGCAAGTACCCGTGCCGTCAAACAAAGGCCAATGTACACACATACTGGAACAAACTTACCAGAACCTAAAATTTCTTCTTTTTCACAAACAAAAAAAGGCTTATTCCAAAGTAGATTTGAACAAATTTCTCCAAAGCAATTCTAGCAACATGCAGCCCTGATTGTCCACCTTTGGCTTCCCTTCTTTTTAAAAATATTAGATGTTCTTTGATAAAAGGCACATTTGGCAGCTACTAAAACTGTCATGCATCTGGCATGATATGGTTTTTTTATTTTATTTTTCCCTTTCAGTTTTTCAGCCATCTAGTATAGGATTTCACATTCACTGGCTAGAAAGTAAAAAAAAAAAAAAAGTGACTTTTTAAAAAAAAAAAGGCTTTACTTTGCCTTGTAATGCTGCAGCAGTTGGCTACTTAATGCACTATTTTAGGCAAAAGGGAAATTTGCTGTTAATAGAAAAATGCACTTAAGGATTTTTTTTTTAATGGAAAATAAGGCATCGAATTTACAAATGAAGTTAAAATGGCTTTTGTTTTTACAACTATATTGGGCCACAGATTTCTCTCCTTAATGAATAAGAGCTAAAAAGGCTTCAGCCCATGCATCCTCTACATTTTGAAATGACAATTCAACAACTGAAAAACAGTATTTTGATGTGGGGGGGACAACCCATTAGAATTTGCAAACTTTTTAATATCATCTTAAAACAGTCTTTTTGAACAAGTCTCTCCTTGCTGGCTGGGAACCAGCAGCAAGGAACAAGTCAAGGAGGGACTATGACGTGCTGCAGCAAATTGCACTGCTCACAGCAGCAAAGTACTAAGAAACATTATGTTTAACTTTCATAGAATTTGTGAGACAAACATTCATGAATGTATTGAGCTTAAATTTCAGCAGTGCTAGCAATACAAGTAGTAGAGGCTGCCTCTAAAATGCCACACTAGGTTGAGACAACAGCCACAGAGAAGGTCACTGAGGCTTATTACACCGCACCGGTGTTGCACATAGCCTGCTGCGAGGCAAATTTGTTCCAGCACCTCTTCAAGCTGAAAAGAAACTTCCTTGTAGGTAACAAAATAAAACCTTCTCCCTGAAGCACAATAATCTACTACCTTCAATAGCGGTACCTCCAGTGAAATCACCAAGCTGGAATCAGACCCGGTTCAACAGGAAGTCTAATTTAAGATACACACATAAGAAAAATAATTAAAAATCCCACGATGTCATTTTAAATCTTGAATGATCTGAGACAGACCTCTGCCCCCAATTTAAGAGGGGCATATTAGGGAAACAGGTTAGCCCACACTGGAGATGGCTTCTTGAGGATGGTATTGATCCCGAAGTAGGATGATGTTCTCCATTAGCAGACAGTTATTGAAAAACTTTGCCTGGGCTGCTGAACATCATGACAACAGCATGTACCTTGGGGTCACCTGACAGCACAATAGCTGACTTTCCAAGCTGCATGCTGAACAGACATAAATGCATGGCACTTGCAAAATCATAGAATAGTTTGGGTTGGAAGGGACCTTTAAAAGCCATCTATAGTCCAACCCCCCTGCCATGAGGAGGTACATCTTCAACTAGATGAGGTTCCTCAAAGCCCAATCCAACCTGACCTTGAATGTTTCTGGGGCTCGGGAATCTACTACCTTTTCGGGCAACCTGGGTCAGTGTCTCATCACCCTCATTGTAAAAAATATCTTTCTTATCTAGTCTAAATCTTCCTTCTTTCAGTTTAAAACTGTTACCCCTTGGTCTATCACAACAGGCCTTACGGAAAAGTTTGTCCCCCTATTTCTTATAAGCCCCCTTTAAGTATTGAAGGGCCGCGATAAGGTCTCCCTGGAGTCTTCTCTTCTCCAACAAACAGTTGGGGCTAAACACCCCCAACTCTCTGCCTGTCTTCAAAGGAGAGGTGCTCAGCCCTCGGATCATCTTTGTGGCCTCCTCTGGACCTGGGCCGCGATAAGGTCTCCCTGGAGTCTTCTCTTCTCCAACAAACAGTTGGGGCTAAACACCCCCAACTCTCTGCCTGTCTTCAAAGGAGAGGTGCTCAGCCCTCGGATCATCTTTGTGGCCTCCTCTGGACCTGCTCCAACAGGTCCATGTCCTTCTTATGTTGGGGGCCCCAGAGCTGCATGCAGTACTCCACATGGGGTGTCACCAGGGCAGAGCAGAGGGGGTGAATCTCCTCCCTGCTGGCCACACCGCTTTTGATGCAGCCCAGGATGTGGTTGGCTTTCTGGGTTGTGAGTGCACATTGCCAGCTCATGTTCACCAGTTCTCCCAAGTCCTTCTCGGCAGACCTGCTCGCCATTCCCCAGCCTGTATTGACACCAGGGGTTGCCCCGATCCAGGTGCAGGATCTTGCACTTGGAATCCTTCCAAATTCCCAGAGGGTTTTTCTGAGCTAACACACAATCATGACACTCTGGAAGAAAATGAACAAACCCAGGTTATGTTCCACTGTTGCACTAGACTATATATAAAGAAGAAACCTTGATGTATAACAGCACAAATTGTTAAAGTTCACCTGTTCACCTGTAAGTTCGCCTATAAAGTTCTGCTGAACTCTATAATGTTGACTGCAGTTTGCAGCTGTTTAGGCTGATTTTTTTTTTTTTTCTTTCACATCAAAAAAAAGTGACTTTTTAAAAAAAAAAAGGCTTTACTTTGCCTTGTAATGCTGCAGCAGTTGGCTACTTAATGCACTATTTTAGGCAAAAGGGAAATTTGCTGTTAATAGAAAAATGCACTTAAGGATTTTTTTTTTAATGGAAAATAAGGCATCGAATTTACAAATGAAGTTAAAATGGCTTTTGTTTTTACAACTATATTGGGCCACAGATTTCTCTCCTTAATGAATAAGAGCTAAAAAGGCTTCAGCCCATGCATCCTCTACATTTTGAAATGACAATTCAACAACTGAAAAACAGTATTTTGATGTGGGGGGGACAACCCATTAGAATTTGCAAACTTTTTAATATCATCTTAAAACAGTCTTTTTGAACAAGTCTCTCCTTGCTGGCTGGGAACCAGCAGCAAGGAACAAGTCAAGGAGGGACTATGACGTGCTGCAGCAAATTGCACTGCTCACAGCAGCAAAGTACTAAGAAACATTATGTTTAACTTTCATAGAATTTGTGAGACAAACATTCATGAATGTATTGAGCTTAAATTTCAGCAGTGCTAGCAATACAAGTAGTAGAGGCTGCCTCTAAAATGCCACACTAGGTTGAGACAACAGCCACAGAGAAGGTCACTGAGGCTTATTACACCGCACCGGTGTTGCACATAGCCTGCTGCGAGGCAAATTTGTTCCAGCACCTCTTCAAGCTGAAAAGAAACTTCCTTGTAGGTAACAAAATAAAACCTTCTCCCTGAAGCACAATAATCTACTACCTTCAATAGCGGTACCTCCAGTGAAATCACCAAGCTGGAATCAGACCCGGTTCAACAGGAAGTCTAATTTAAGATACACACATAAGAAAAATAATTAAAAATCCCACGATGTCATTTTAAATCTTGAATGATCTGAGACAGACCTCTGCCCCCAATTTAAGAGGGGCATATTAGGGAAACAGGTTAGCCCACACTGGAGATGGCTTCTTGAGGATGGTATTGATCCCGAAGTAGGATGATGTTCTCCATTAGCAGACAGTTATTGAAAAACTTTGCCTGGGCTGCTGAACATCATGACAACAGCATGTACCTTGGGGTCACCTGACAGCACAATAGCTGACTTTCCAAGCTGCATGCTGAACAGACATAAATGCATGGCACTTGCAAAATCATAGAATAGTTTGGGTTGGAAGGGACCTTTAAAAGCCATCTATAGTCCAACCCCCCTGCCATGAGGAGGTACATCTTCAACTAGATGAGGTTCCTCAAAGCCCAATCCAACCTGACCTTGAATGTTTCTGGGGCTCGGGAATCTACTACCTTTTCGGGCAACCTGGGTCAGTGTCTCATCACCCTCATTGTAAAAAATATCTTTCTTATCTAGTCTAAATCTTCCTTCTTTCAGTTTAAAACTGTTACCCCTTGGTCTATCACAACAGGCCTTACGGAAAAGTTTGTCCCCCTATTTCTTATAAGCCCCCTTTAAGTATTGAAGGGCCGCGATAAGGTCTCCCTGGAGTCTTCTCTTCTCCAACAAACAGTTGGGGCTAAACACCCCCAACTCTCTGCCTGTCTTCAAAGGAGAGGTGCTCAGCCCTCGGATCATCTTTGTGGCCTCCTCTGGACCTGCTCCAACAGGTCCATGTCCTTCTTATGTTGGGGGCCCCAGAGCTGCATGCAGTACTCCACATGGGGTGTCACCAGGGCAGAGCAGAGGGGGTGAATCTCCTCCCTGCTGGCCACACCGCTTTTGATGCAGCCCAGGATGTGGTTGGCTTTCTGGGTTGTGAGTGCACATTGCCAGCTCATGTTCACCAGTTCTCCCAAGTCCTTCTCGGCAGACCTGCTCGCCATTCCCCAGCCTGTATTGACACCAGGGGTTGCCCCGATCCAGGTGCAGGATCTTGCACTTGGAATCCTTCCAAATTCCCAGAGGGTTTTTCTGAGCTAACACACAATCATGACACTCTGGAAGAAAATGAACAAACCCAGGTTATGTTCCACTGTTGCACTAGACTATATATAAAGAAGAAACCTTGATGTATAACAGCACAAATTGTTAAAGTTCACCTGTTCACCTGTAAGTTCGCCTATAAAGTTCTGCTGAACTCTATAATGTTGACTGCAGTTTGCAGCTGTTTAGGCTGATTTTTTTTTTTTTTCTTTCACATCAGCACTCTAGAGTAGTACAGCAACTCAGCCTCCAAACAAGCATGTTTCATTGTCCATCATCCCAGGCCACGCCAGACCATCCAGCGTAATTTTACCAAGGAAACAGCATCATTAAAATGATTTCATTTTCTATGTGAGAAGCATTGTCACTAATGTAAACAAGGTCCAAATAAGAAGTAATTCCAGACTAAATAATTAACACAAATAAACATGTCATTACACAAAACAGTGCCTTAGCAGTTATACTCAAAACTTCTAAATGCAACAGGTTTGATTCTCATCCTGACCTTCCTCTTTGCAGCTGAGACATCACCATGATTTGTGCACTGTATGACTAACCCATTCTGCTGAGCTCCAAAGCATGTTTAAGTTAGGTTCTTGCATGGTGACCATTATTACCTGTTGTCCAAGTACCTCACCAGTAAAGGACTTTTATCCGCAACCACAGAGATGCGAAACAGCTTTCCCGATTTCACAAAGGGAAACAGAGACCTACCGACATTCAAGAAATCACTGATTAGCAGGGTCCATGTGAGGTCTCTCCTTCTAGCTGAGCAACCTACCCACTAGATCATTCCTTCTGCCTAGTCTGCCTTGACTGCAAAATAGAAATAGTGTACAGAAGGTCAGAAATTCTAAATTTAAGGAGTTTTCCCTGGTAATCTGCTGATGAGCTAATAATTTAGATGACATTGCTAACAGTAGGCCTATCACGGCATTTATATCCAAAGGACCGATAACCTAAATATGCATCCTGTAGCTTCAGGGTTTTCACAAAGCTCCCATGTAGTGTTCTCTTCTGAAGCCAAGGTTTAGAGATCTTCACTTTTTCTTCTTTTGCCAGGAAAATATTTCAAAACAAAGTTGTTAAAGACATCAAAGAAGGAATAGAACTGACAAATTTCAGCATTTGACTATGATGAAAACTGTTGTTCACGAAATCAGAGAACCTTCTGAAATGTAATGACCACACTAGAGGACCAAGGGGCACTGCTCAATGGCAGTGCAAAAAGCATTAAAAATGGTGATTTCCACCATCATTCAACTAACACCACCTCTAATGACACAGCTTTCCAAGGCGCTGAAATGTATTCTTCTTCCAAAAAGGAAATGTTGTATGATTTTACTTTTTTTCATGAGCCATATTAACTGAAGATGAGATACTTTACACTTCATATACATACTGCACTGGAGATTATAGAGCTTCGTTTCTTCAGTAACTGCCATGCATTACTGTCACAGTATTGTCTAGAGTTGAAGAGCAGTACACAGGTTTATGGATAATCCATGTCATGATACTTATACCAGTACATGTGTATTTTGGACACAGAAAGCTACTGCAACGGTTAATACAAGTTTGAATTTTTCTAACAAGTGTCATACAGCAGGTGTGAGAAATTTTATAACATATAATAATTTACCTTGGGAGTAACCCAGCTTCTCAGGTATTACTAAATTATTACTTTGTAATACATGCCAAAACCGATTTATCTTTAGACTCTTATTATTAAAATACATACACTGAACTAGGAAAAATACGTACCACAACATGTGCTTTTATCCCCTTCAGTGCTTAACTGAAAAACTGAGTTGTACATCTGTCTGTGTAATAATTTAACGTATGTCAGCCAAACATATCTGTATCTTTATTTCAATTAAATTAAAAACAATCTGCAAGTATATTTATGCAACCTTCACTATATACACATGATTTATGCAACTGCAAGGCAATTCTATGTATGCTGATTAATCTACTGTTAGTAAAACATGACAATAGCTATGGAAGTTTACCAGTGAGTGCTCCTTTTCACAAGTGCCTGTTTTCATGGCATGACTGAAAAAGAATAGCTACTAGCCATGAAATGGATTATCAGTAAACCTTAAAAAGAATGTGACATAACCTAGCAGAGATTAACAGTCTCCTAAATGTACTAGTATATTCACTTCGGATGATAGTGCTGCTTTTAAAAAAAAACCCTTGCTGTCCTCTTAATGATGTAAGACTTTAATCTCCTCTATCTAAAGAAAGCAATAACTAGACATTATGCTTCCTGGCAAAAATTTATTTTTGAACTGGCACCATAATATTTCAGAAAATAATAATAAAGTACCTCTTTGGTGAAGCCTAGGTACCCCCTACCACTCATTGTAACAACTTGTAAACAGGACTGCAATACAGTGCTTGGCCTTAATCCTAGCTCAGTTAGGTACCACAGATCTTCCTCACAGTCCTTCTCATAATTTTAGGAAGGTATTTTAAAGCAGGGAGTAAAGCAAAGAAAAAATTAAGGAGGATATAAACTTCCCTGTTTGAGATTTTTAAAAAGTGCATAATGTTTTCATTCCATAAACTGTGCCATTGTAAGGAACCGATGGATACCAGAGTCTTTTCTTTCCTGTACTGGACATTATTGATCACTACACAAACACAGTCTCTGCTCATTGGCCAAAGAAGTCCCTCAAGTCTGTTTTCTGGTACAATCAGTTGTCCAACTACTTTAGAACAATGTCCTGCATACTAAAACAAGAATAGCAAGTTAACCGGTTTTTCCACTAGAACGTCTTTTTTTGCAATCCCATTTCTGTACACTGCATTTCCAATCCATTGGAGAGTTTTTAGTGTTTGGCATACACATCCCAACTCCTTGGCACCACCAGGTTCAGTGCATCCATTGCCAGCAACAGACGTAGCACCAGGAAAACGCGACTCCCAGCGCAAGGGATAGTTCAGGAGGAATGGGCATTCTCCAGCAATGGTGGTCCGTCTCGATGCATCGATGGGTGTGTGTGCTCCCTTTTGTAAGTTTTTGGAGGAAGCTTTGGGATATGTTGAGAAGTGCTTTGTCGTGGAGGAACAGGTGGTCCAGCAACAGAATGGAGGTCCACATCTTGTGGTATCAAAGGTGGTGATGGAAGATGCCTCCGTGCTACATGTGGAGAAGGTGTCTGAGGGGGAGTAAATGGTGATGGACTGTTTGGGAAAAAGGTGTTACCAAGTTCGCTTTTTCTCCCCAGTGGTGGAGGCTGGAGGTGTAGTGGTGAGCTAGAGAAAACATCTGGAGTTCGCACAGGTTCTCGTGGTGGTAACACAGGAGGGCTTTCAGGGGGGTCAGAGATGCAGGTCCGGTCAGGTACTGAGTACCTTGGTGAATACACTTTAGAGGTTGGTTGCCTAGGAGGGATTGCTGGTGGGCTGTCCAGGTGCGCAGAAGTAATCTGAGGTACACAAACATTTCATTCAGTAAAGTTTTAGAGTGATAGTAAAGAAGAGGACCCTACTGTGAAATGGAAGCAGAGCTCCTGCCATGCAGATTGCTCTTATCCAGTTAAAAAGGAGGCCCAACAAGCAGGTGCAGAATGAAGATGGGGAGTAAGGAAGCAAAAGGGAGTGGTGGTGCCTGAAAAACATGTTTTTCAGAGTGATGCAGACAGAAAAGACAGAGACTGGATATGCAGGGGGAGAGCAGGGTTTTTTCAATACATGAGTAAACAGCCAGGGATGGAAGGAACAAAGATGCACAGAGAGTGACAAAGGCAAGGCAAAGAATGGTCAAAGCAATAATTTCCATGCTAGTCCAAGGTCTGCTTGCTGAGTAGGTCTGGACATCTTCCATCACCTCCTCAGTTACAAGCACTTGAGGTGGGTAATAACACCAGCTATTTCTCCAAGAAAATTAGGAAAAGGGAGAGGCAAATGAAGCTTAACAGGAAAAAAATAAACTATGCTCAGAAGATGGAATTAAGTAGTCGTAATTATTGAAGTGAACAGTTCCCAAGCTGCAGAGCACAGTGACAGGGTAATTGGTCTCCAACACCCTACCACATATAGGACGTTTCCAATTAAATGCAAAAGGAAAATGTAGCAATGGGTTAAGCAGGCAGGAGCAGGATAGGTAATCAAGCAGGGAAAAGAAAGCACTGAAAGCATCAGTGTCAAATATTCTAATGAACCTTTTCAGAAGACTGAAAGGTTCCATCATTCCTATTCTTCAGTTCTTTACCCCCACTTATACACTCCAAAATGATACTCTTGGACAATTATCATAAATGGAAACATCTGACTGAAGCCTCAGGTTCTTACAGGCAATATGAGGGCCCGAGCAGAGTGGAACAATAGATAAGACACTTCTAACCCTAAGTTTAGTTTCCCTCTGCTAACTTTCATTTGTTCGGGATCAGGACATAAAGAGGCAGAGCTGTGAAGGCTTGAAATACATGGCTGCTTGCTCTTTTACATACAGTTCCTCAAAAATACATGTACTATCTTTAAGAGTTACTTTTCTATCATACCTTGCCCTCGGCTCCGAGAAAAAATGCCCTTTTTTCTCTTTACTTACTTTTGATGGGGAGGATTCAGCTGGGGCAGACTCTGGTCTTCTTCGTGGAGGAACCGGAGGGGGAACATGAGCTTCATCTGAATTTTTGGTAAAGTTTATGGAAGACACAGAAGCAGATCCTAGTAGACATAAAAAAAGAATCTTGATAATGATGAACTTTTTTTTGACTCAGTATATTTCCTTTATTGCTTCCAAAAAAGGTGTCACAAATAACAAAGTAATTGCTGATAAAAAGCAGAATGAATCGAGAAGGTGTTAAAGAAAGACAATGAAACAACCCTCTAACTTGCAGCTTCCAGACAAACTGCTTTTCTGTGCTGCAATCATCTCTGCAGTCATCAGTCTGTGCACATGCTTAAGTAATCCTCAAAACCAAAGCCACACCACAAAGTTGTTCTTGTATCACAACAGCACTAAAACAGTATCGTAAACCTGCAGTCAGTGGGCCAAACCAACAGTGAAGAAATATCTTCTTCTGAAGAGGTATTCCAGAGACCTCACTTGGACACTCAGCAAAGTCATTGTTCTGCTAAGCAACTTCTGCTTTTAGCAAGTCATTTGACCTCCTTGTGGCAACCAGCTGAACACAGGACTAACCTTGTACTTACTTTGAAAGCCCTCCCACAGGACAGGAGGCTACGTCCACTAAAATTACTGAAATCACATACTAAAATACAAGATTTCTAGTTTGTTGGTGAAGTCAGAAGAAAAAGTAAGTGTGGACGGGTCCTGATAGATTTAAAGCAGGGAAATACTGATTTTAAGTTGTGCAGGAAAACCATCCATGTGCATGAAAACCAATTCAGAATGATGGACAGCAGAATAAGGCTCACAAAACATCCATTTTTACTCTCACCATCAACCAGATACTCACTGAATCCATTCACCACATATACTTAAATGAATAAAACACATTGAAAGCTTTTTCTGCCACAAGCAGACAAAAGCAACTATTTCTATAGTCGCTTTTGAAGACTTAAACATTATTTCACCTGTCTAACACACACATTCTTAGTAGACTATCTATTAGCACCTACTTGCATGAAATGGACTTGAAGGATCAGAGTCAAACACACTGCAGGCATCTGTGTTACTCGAAGTGGCAGAAGCAGGGGGAGGGGTCAAAGGTGTTCGGGGAGAGTTTGGTGCAGATGCTGTAGTTTCAGTTTCAGTCTCTGGGATGCGGCTGTAACTAATTTTCCTTGGCTCCTGTTGCAGTGGTGTAGGATGTCTCATGGTACCTGGTCTTGGATTAGAGGGACGAACACCTGGAGACTTGAGAGGATAGCTGTATTTTTTGGGCTGAAATGACAAAAAACAAAATCAAAAGCCCACAAAGTCACCAAAAAGTAGTTTTATATTTAATAAGTTAGAGATCTACAATGACTTCTGCTATCTGTGAAAGACAAATGTAAGCATTTAAAAAAAAATAATACATTGAATACTAACAAATCTTGGTGGAGGCTTGACATTTCGTGGCTCTATCTCTAGTGACTTGTTGAACAGATAATCTGTAAATTCTGTCTCCATGCTGTTTCCCATTGGATTCAGGTTTTCAAAAAATCTCTGAAAGATAAGAAGGTAGAAATCTTGTCAGCTAATACTGTTTGTTTCTACTGCACAAATGATCCCAACTGTTCCAGAGAAGAGAGAAAAAAAAATGCTGGAGTCAGAAGCAATGATAATTTTTTAAGTTATTAAATCTATATATTGCCAGCCCTTTGCTGGGCATTGCTACTGCTATGCTTTGCCTGACAAACAACCGTGCAAGTACCCTAAATACTTTCTGCAGTGCAAAAATCAGACCAGGTTAGCTCAAACACATACTTCAGAATAAGCTGTATGCTGGTGGACGAGAAGCTGGACATGAGCAGGCAGTGTGCAGTTGCAGCCCAGAAGGCCAATCGCATCCTGGGCTGCATCAAAAGATGCGTTGCCAGCAGGTCCAGAGACCTCACCTGGAGTATTGTGTGCAGGTCTGGAGCCCTCAATATAAGAAGGACATGGACCTGATGGAGCGGGTCCAGACGAGGGCCACAAGGATGATCAGGGGGATGGAGCACCTCTGCTACGAGGACAGGCTGAGGGAGCTGGGGTTGTTCAGCCTGAAGAAGAGGAGGCTCCGGGGAGACCTAATAGTCCAGTACCTGAAGGGAGCCTACAGGAAGGCTGGGGAGAACCTGTTTAGAAAGGCCTGCAGTGACAGGACGAGGGGCAATGGCTTCAAGCTGGAGGGGAACAGATTTAGACTGGAGATTAGGAGAGGGTTCTTCACTGTGAGGGTGGTGGAGCACTGGAACAGGTTGCCCAGGGAGGTGGTTGAGGCCCCTTCCCTGGAGATATTAAAGATGAGGCTCGACGAGGCCCTGGGCAACCTGGTCTAGTCGGGGGTGTCCCTGCTGACTGTGGGGAGGTCAGACTAGATGACCTTTGGAGGTCCCTTCCGGCCTGGGCAATTCTATTCTATGAGTCTATTTTTACGCTGATGCAGGGAAGACTGCTCTCAAAACGCATTCTGTCAGACCCTGGGGAAAACAAGTAGCAGAAGAAAGTCTTGCAGAATCTCTTAAGATAATCTGTCCTATGATTCTCTGAAAGTATATAGCTCAAAAGATATTAAAAAAAAAAGAAAAGGAAGAAAGGAAAGCAAACAGAGAGAACTGTCTAGAGAACACCACAGACCAAGGAGAACAAGTAACAAGAGAAAGAAAAATGTATCACCACCACCAACACATGACGTAAACACAGTACTACCAGGTAAGCCTGGAATCATAAAGACAGTGTAACAGATGAGGAAAAGACAACTGGGCTCACTGGACAAATAAACAGAGTGAAGGACAGTGAGAATCTGGTAGTTTTTGTTCCTGTTTAACACGGATCAGTAAGAAGATCTACCTACCTTGCTGGAGCAAAAAAACTCCAGACCCCGCCAACCTGCAAGCATTGAGCTTTCTGCCCTTTCTTACAATGAGATATTTTATGACAGGCCTTCTGTTCGTCTCTGATTCAGTCTGATTGAATCTATGTGAATTCAGCTTATCCTTATGGTCACCACAAAAGTAGCTCAGTGCATGGACTCAAGGAAATAATGCCACTTACCCTGATATCAAATTCCACCCTCAAACAATAAGGCTGGTTCTGGTACTGCTGTATCTCTCCTGTTATTTCAGCTACCTTTCTCCTCTTGCTGAAGTTTATAAGTTCTTTCCCATGTCGCTTTAGAAATTCAGGGTTGCCTTCTTCTGTTTTCAGAATGTTAGTTAAGTAAATCCCTAAAGAGCACATAAAAGAGGTTCTCAATATATAGTAGAAAATAAGGAGGAAGTCACATGACTGCAATACAAAAAATTCTTAAATAATTTAATTTGTGCACTCTAATTATTTAGAAAAATTCTCTGATAGGGTCGATAAGACAATCGCACCTCATTTTCAAATAAGGGCAACAATTCAAATATTTTAATATGCCTTTTTCAGAAAGGTGCCTTTTTTGCATCAAAATCTCAGTCTATGCATCTTTCTATTGTTTAGGAAGCTCACACAACTGAACGCTACGAGCATTTTGCAACACAAGAGTACACTGAACTCAAGTACTTTCTTTTAACTGATCTGTCTCAATTCAGCTTCACTCCATTAGAGACCTCAGCTAAGCTCCAAAAATTTTATTTTCAGGTTTTATTCTTCTGTTCTACTCTCCACTCATGGCTTCATAATTGCATCAAATCATTTGAAAATTAGAAAGAAAAGAGCACCCTCAAGTCCACAGATAATACATCTGTAACTGTCATGACTCTTCTAAGTAAAACTTGAGACAAATAACTGAACCTAGTTATGTGTGATCCTGCTAACCTCTACTCATCTCTGAAGCAGGACAGAAGGTTTCTTAGCTGATCTTATCTTTCTTTGCAGAGCTCTGGAGTATATCTTTCCCCAAATTGCAAAAGGCCAAAAAAGCCATCAACACTATTTTCTTTCAATTTTGGCCTGAAGCCTATGCTGGACGAGTGCAATGTCCAGAATTGGAACTAATCTGCAGCAAACATCCGAGCAGCTTGCTAAAGAACAGGAATGCCATGTGCTTAACTTCATAATTTGTTTAACACAAGAAATTCCAAGCAATTTACTTAAATGAACTGTTACGATTGACGATAAAGAAGAGGCTTCCTTCCCAAACTCTTTTTATAGAAAGAAGACTTTTTAATAGAAATAAGACTCCAGTTATAAGAAACCACAAAAATTAAAACTCTAGCTTTATTTCTCGGAATTCTTGATGGGAAGGGGGTCCTTCTTTCTCTACTAGTCAATGGCAATAATTATTTCTAATGTACCTGCCTTCCATTTAAGACATTTATGGTCACAACACCAAACCACATTCAAAGTAAAAATGAGTAAATATGTAAATGAGATATCACAGATATACTTATTTTTACTGCAAATAACATCTGCAATTAAGTCACTTTAATTTTTCTTTCACATAGATTAATGTTTGGGCACCTGAAATTCAAACCCAACTGTCCTGTTAAAATTGACTTCTCACTATTGTTCATACTCTGTTCAGAGCCCTAGCTCAATACTTTCCAAATGTTTATGCATGATACAGCTCATTCAAACCAAATGTACTTACCAAAAAAAGGCACACAAGGAGGATTAATGGACCTGAGTTTTGCCAAGTATTTCTTATAATGATCCTCACTCAGCTCATAAGCTTCTTCTAAAATCTTCTTCTGGCGACTTGGAATTTGCTAAAGAAAGAGAGATGGAACAGGTTGTTTGGAAAGAGAGGGTAGAGGTGTAGCCCAGTAACAATACTGACAGTAATGGTCTCCCACTGATATTTATGTCAGTGACCAGGAGAACAGTGTCCCACCATCTCAGGATTTTGCCAGCTTTTTCTGCATTTCTTAAGTGAGGATGAGAACCGATTTCTTGCTTCTGAAACCAAGAAAAAAAAAAGCCTAAAACCTTTCTATTACACCCTGATTGATTAATTTGTTGGGGGATTTACCTTCCTTGCTCCTTCTTTGAAGGACATGCTTACTGAAAATACAGGCTTTTAGTGTAGCTAAGGTGCATTGCATTACCCTTCCGTACCAAAAATGGAAAACATTTTGCTGTACCTCAAATGTGTGATCCAACCTATACACTGCTGCGGAGTTCATAGCACTGACAATCTCAAGGACACCATTAAAGTTGTTTAGCTCTTGAAAAACTTGCAGGATCTCAATTATCCGGCTCACTACAATTACTCTTTCCTCTAGGTTTTCTGTTTCTACAATGCATCTAAAAGCACAAGAACATTTGATTTTGTATCAAAGCATTTGATTAGTTTTCCAAAATCAAATATTAAGTAGTAACACAAACAAATATGAAATGTTTATCAAATTACTTGACACATTTTTGAAAATGTTTAGAGAACAAACATTTGGTAATATTCTAAGAATAAAAAGCTGAGACCATTATGGTAAAATTCTTGCAGGCACCAGTTGTAGCATCTAAACACAACTTGAAACTGGAATTCTCCCAGAACAGAATTTTTCATGGTATACTTCTGAATGGACTGTATATGTCCAGAAATGGAATAGGTACAGATTCAGGGAAGTCACTTACTTTTCAAACCACAAAGTCAGGTTAGTTGTATGTCTTATCATTTTGAGAAGGTTGGGAGAATTAATTTCTTTATCTTCCTTTGTCCACACACTTCCAACTAGTTCAGATGGCTGCACAGCTCTAGAAAAGTAGATGCATGTACCAAATAATGTAATTAAATTTCCAGTGAATTTGCAATTAGTATTTGGAAATAAATACTTAAGATATTGCTTGTCTTCTATAATGTTAGGCCCCTCACATGACTGACTGACTGGTATTTCTATGCTTCTTTTTTAGTGTGTAAATTATTTCTTAATTTATTAACCACCTCTGTTCATCTAAATGAAGAATGAAGTCTACATCTCATTCACCATGATAAAATGTGAGCTTCCAACGCCTGAACAACCTCTCTCAGACAGCTGGTGAGATCTGACATGGTCCATAATTTGCTTCACAGACTAGGATATGAAGAAAACTGATTTATTTATGTTCATGCTTCTCAAGGGTTGATCTACTCAGAAAATATCAAGAGAAACCTGCAGCACAATGCAATTAAAAGTATGCATCCGTCACATGTACTGCATGTTAACTTTGGAAGGATAAGACAAATACCGTTATTTAGATTTTTTTCTGAAAAAATAGCAATTAATAAACAGCACTGGTAAAGTCCCTTGACCTACCGTGGGGCTTCACAGCAGGGGCCCGCAGAAACAATTTCATGCTGGAGAACATTTTGGTTTGTATCATGTGCTTTTCAATGGAGGAAAGTTACCTGTAAAAATCTGACTCAAGTAAAGTGAGCTGCCGAGCAATTTCTATTGGATGCAAAGTGAGCAAGTCAAAAGTCTCTGTGTGTCCTGGTTTGCTTATGTGCCATTCAATTGCCGGGGGCGGGCTCTCAAAAGTAATGTTGTGACTTGGCCCAATGGCTTGTGCCTGCTTTTTCCGGTTGATTATCTTTGTGATTGATTCAACCCATTTCTTCATCGCTTTGCCTGGCACACAGAGAGAAAATTACTATTTAGTTACTCTTAATACCGTTTTTCCAAAGAGGTCATTATAATTTAAAAATCTTTGGATTTAAACCCCAAACCTACTAAATTAAAGCAACCATATGTTGTTTAGAAGTGCATAAGTACCGTTCTCACACAAGTCTCGAAGAATTCAAACATCCAAAGAAGAATTCCTCAACAGCCAATGCTGAGCATGCCAAATTTTTCCAAGCAAAATTCAGAACACCCAAATCGGGCTCCTGCTCCAAATCAGTTGTTTGCCTCTCTTTTCTGGCTTTACAATGAGTTTAAGGAACTAACCTTCTTTTGCCCAAAATGCACTTCTGTAAACACTCTGAACTTCACACTTTGGGCAAGAGGACATGCTTACCTCAGGTAACACAGAAGGGGAAAACAGGAAACAGAGAGAAGCTTCTCCCGCTATTACACCTAATGTCAAAGCTCAGAATAAAACCCAAAGGCCAAATGCCTGCTTAGCTCCACACCGTAAGTATTTCATGCATAAGATGGCAAGTCCACTGAAAATACACCAGTAACTCACATTAAACTAGCTGGCTCATTTCCCCCCTCTTTTTAATTGCTATATAACCATTAAATACTTCTCTAACATACTATTTTCCTACAAACTACTCCTGTAGCTCTCTCAGTTTTCCTTAGAAGGCAACAGAAAAGATCTGTACAATCACAACTGAAAGCTGTCCTACAGGTCTACTACACACTGTGAAAGAGCTGGAAAACCCTTGCTTCAAAGAAATAGTGGTTTCCACCATCCAACTTTTACAAATATTACCTCTGTGTATAGTTTAAGAGGACAATCAAAACAATTGCTCTGTCCTGATCATTACTCAGTTCTTATTATTTTGCATTATTTCAGTCCTTTTATAACAAAACCAATACTTATTTAATAGGATCTAAATACCATTCATTCTTCTGAACAGGAGCCAGACTTTGAATAATAGCGTTGTTTGTTGGGGTTTTTTTAATTGAGGTTTACTTTATGTTCTTTATGAAGTATTTAATAAGCAGTCAGTCCTGTTTTTCCTTATCTGCTCAGTGAAAGGAAAAGCGATCATGTTCCATACCTTTGAAAAGGGATGCTTTATGATTAAGTGCCAGCACTTAAGAAACCATAAGTACCTCTTACTGTTCCAATGAATTCCTCCAAACGTTGCAGAAGATCAGCATCTCTTTCAAAGTCATAGAAGTGGTGTTCTACCCAGTGTCGACACACATTTAATACTCTGCAAAGGTAAAGGATAAGTTATCACTCTACGATACAGTCTGTCTTCATGCCTACCACTGCAAGGCTTTTAGTAGGCAAGGGCTCACAGGAATATCAGAACCAGCAAATCAAAGTGCAATTATTCTACTGTCAGCATCTCACCAGGAACCAGCTATAAGCATTTTTCTACTTTAAATTTAAAGACATAAGAGTACTGCTATTGTTCATGGAAAGAACATGACTTAAAATGTTCTCTGCTTTGTGGCACACTTAGGCTGTATAGGCTTGTAAAAACATGGATCAAAACAAACGGTGAGTGTAAGAAACTGATTTGCACACTAATAGTCTAAAATTCAGCACAAGCTTTTCTCAAGGCTTTTCACACTATGAATTCAAACTCCCAACAGGTTTTCAAGTAACAAGGTCAAAAAAGCGGACTGCTCACACACGCTTTCTATCAAAGCATCTATAGGAAAGGCTGCTGGTATCACAAAGAGTCACTGCATAGAAAAGATGCTACTTCAAAAGACTTAAAGAAAGTCAGTTTATCTCACATTGATGCAATACTCACCGTAGCTGCACAGGCTGAATGTACTCTTTCCTAAATCTTTTTAACTCTGCACTAAGAGGCTGGTCTCCGTTCTCCATAGCAATACGATCAGCTTCTGTTGGCTCAGGCTCTGGAATTTCAAATCTAGCACAGAAATGGGTATAAGCACTAGACTCCTGTTCCACTGATCTTGCTCACAGCATGCATGAATAAATTGTTGATTCAAGATAGCTCAAAATTCAGAACATTTCCACATGTCAGAATCTTACATCTTGGTAAGCACATAAGAAGATTTGCTAAATTCAATAACAAAACAGATTTAAAAGACAAAAACCTTAGGATGTCGAAGTTACTGGAGCCTACCTGAACAATCCTAAACTTCTGGATATAACTTGCACATTTCACATTTTACACCCTTGAATTTTGCAATTTTTAAAGAATATTTGGAGTGAATCAAAACCAACAGGAAAACAAAACTCTACTCCAAGTAAAATTTTTTTCAAAAATTTGCACTTTGTATGAAGAGGATTTTTAACTGTGGCATACCTTTCTATTAGCAGACTCAGCAACTCTTGAGGTTTACAGAAGGATCTATATGTTGTGAGAAAAGTCCGAACAAAGTTGGGATCTAAGACAAAGAATAATTTTATGCTCATGTCAGCAATTATCTGATTTTTTAAAAAGCTTTAAAATAACTTTAAGTATCCTTTAAAATTAAGGATACAGAGCTATCAATTACAGAGGAGATGATGTAAGCTAAAATTACTTTTGGTAACAATTCAGAACCTCTTAAAATAGCAATACAAAGGAGAATTTAAAAACAATTCTTATTCTGTTGAAAATTCAAAACAATGACTTTTTCTTCAATTATTAACATACTGGATGCTTCTTAAACAACTTGGAAAATAATAAATAGATTTTTTTTTAAGAGCCATCTAGTAAACAACTTTGCTTTTGACAATGATCAAGACAAGAAAATTCAAGAAACACAGCCAGCAACTTTGCACTGGACAGAAATGGCCTCTTCGAGGAGGAAATGTTTTCCCGAAACTGGTATTGCTCTGCTTAAGACAGGCTAGATATTTTTTCAGCCAACTGACAGCTATACTTTGAGCTATATTTATTTCACTGCAAGAAAATCAACAGATTTCTATTAAATTGACTAATTACATATCAGTTCATTTAAAACATTCAAATACATTTTAAAAAAGAGGCAAGTATTCAAAACAGAAAACCAGAGGGTCTTCCTTAATTACAAAAGCAAAACCATTTGTTCTCAGGTATGAGGAAAGGCAGTGACAGCAAGCTGGCACTGCACAGAGCTGACTACACACAAGGTTAACATTGTTATTACTAAACAAAATTAATGAGTGGGTTGCAATGGCTTTGCATATTAAATCCATATACAGATTTTAAAAACAAACCCCAACTGGTGATTTTTCTAACACAGAGTGGCTAAAGAGGAGCACACAGGACTTGAGGGAGGAGTTCCTGTAAGCTGTAATGAAGAAAAAAAGGCCTGCATTATTTGACCTAACACTATATTAAGTTGTTGGAGTTGTTTCCTGGAATATGAGTTTTTGAGAGCTTTTTTAAAATCCTCCATAACCATCTACAAGCATCTTGTCCATTTGAACAAACATTCTGCCTTTCTCAGACCCTACTAAGCTATTCATCTGGGCAACGATATACCGCAATGTGTTGTACAGATTAACCATGCATCCTGTAACACAGCATTTCCTTGCATTTATGTTGCACACTGGTTCCCATTTCTTAAAATCTTGGCTGTTCTGCTTTACCATCTCTATGTCCTTCATTACTCCATTTTTCTTATCATAACGCCTCTCCCACCTCTCCTTGAAACTGTACAGTCTAAAATCCTTTTCAAAGGCAAAACTCCAAATCCTTTTCCACGAAGAATGTCATCCCTGTCCCCATCATCCTCATCATGAAAACACACAATTTTTGTTGTCCTAAAAAATAAGTACAGAAGTAAGCACAGTAACCCACATTTTCACAGCTGGCATTCTGTACACACCATTCACACTAAAAAGATTTTGTCTACATGAAGAAGAAAGCCTTCATAGCAATTAACATCTTCATATCCCTGCAAGCTCTGAGTCATAGCTACTATTATTTACAGGTAGGGTCAGTGTTTAAATCCACAATACGTATTGAATTTCAAATGAAGTAGATCAGAAAACCAAATCCAACCTTGTTATCTTACCAGCAAAATCTGTAACTCAAAATAGTGTACAATATATGAGCAAGCATTAAAAAAAAATATGGACAACACTAGTTAGTCAGGATGTCTGCCCATGTGATAATTCTCTCTTCAATACAGCCAATTTGAAAGCTGAAAAAGAACAATAACTTGCTCTACAAGGATTTATAAATAATCACTCTTGAATTCCTTAAGAAAGGAAACGGACACTATGATGACGCACAAGCACTCTTAACATATCAAAGCTTTAAAAATAGAAGAGCACTGCCCTACAGATAAAAAAAAAAATTGACATGACTTTCAAATCTTGGTACCACCTAGCCCAACTGCTCTTAAATAAGGAGGAGATAATGAATGTAGAAACACATTAAAACAAGTAAACCCCACCAGAATATGCAAATAGGGTCAGAACCTGAATTTCTAATCGAAGGGCAGTTTCTCTCCTGTCAAAATATATATGGAAAGCTGTTTGTGGAGAGGAGATGTCTCCCTGTTTTGCTGCTCCACCGCAGACTGGAGCAGCACCGTGTGGCCAGGGGCTCACCAGGGCTGTCCTTCTGCCCTGGATGCCTCCTACCCCCACGGCACCACTTCGTTAGAGCTAGGCTACCTGCTGTCCCTGTTCCACAGCGAAGTATTTCAGCTGATGAGCTGCTTTGTGCATTGTCAGGGAGGTGAGGGAGGAAAATAAAAGGTCCAACACCCCCTGGACCTGGCAAACGAGATGGACTGCATGGATTTTCACAGATGACAAAAAAGTTGAGACCTGATTTGACCACCATCTGAAAACAGCCCACGTACTCCTCAGTATGCAACTAATTAAACTGTTCTTCAACTACATGCAACAAGTTGGTACCACCTCTGCAATTATAGCTGTAACTATTCCTTATAGTATTTGACCTACAAAGATAAAAAACTAGCAAAGTCCCAGCTATGGTAAACACTGCCTTTTGGCTGTCAGCTTGAGGGCTGCCATACCCAGTCACACCGTAACTGAGAAGTGACCTCAGAAAAATAAAAGCTAGCTATTCTGTCACATGAATATAAAGTCAGTAAATTCTTTTAAGATTACAATCCTATGTGGTACAAGAAAAGCACTTCTACAGTCCGTAGCTCTTTGGCTAGATATCAGCAGAGTCTGCAAGCAAAACAGAAGCCTCTACCCTCAGCTGAGAGGTGTGCGAAAGAAGAGCTAAAGGGTCACTGTGGAACGTTGTTGCCCTACTCACTGCATCTCATAAAATGCCACAAAACACTAAATTATTTACACAGTAAATGGACCTCATTTCCTGTACAACAGAGCATTTTTGGCTGAGTCACTATATCTCTATTTCTCTGTTCCCCTGGAAAAGACATCACAGAACGGTTAAAATGACGACATTTTTCCTCATAGAAAACCAATTATAAAACAGAAGATATAGAATGAGAAATGAGGGTGTTGAGAAATGATGTGCAACCTAGCAATTTGGCATCAGGTCCACGTATGTTGCACTAAGATCTTTAAGGCTACGAAGACAGGCTAAATATATCAAAAGACAACCATTTTTATTCTTTTGGTCAAAGTCTTTCAGCCTATCTCGTAATACCCATGTTCTCAGTTTCATCATACAATAGTTTGGTCAATGTCAGAGACACCTACAGCTCTAAGCCTCAAGCAGCCTACTTAAACCTTTGTTAAAGAGGGGCTGTTAAAAGCAGGGATGACTGGATGAAGGTGGATCTAATCAATCGATCTGAATTCTTCTTTCATGTCCTATGGGCTAGAAAGGCCAAAAAGACACACAGACGCAAAAAAACCATCAGACAAGACATACTTCAACAGCCACATGTTCCTTAAAACCAGCCCTTTCTGTTTTCTGGAACTGGAGAATGTAGTTTGCAGCTCCCTGGACAGAGAGGACAAGCGGGGAGCACTGCCAGCACCTGGGGCGATGCCCAGGCTACGGCACCCAAGCCCCAGTGTGTATGGAAAGAGCAATTCTCAACGGTGTACAAGTTAGCCAAAGCAAAGGAAATGTTCACAAGGGCACTAATGAAGTATTATCTTTGCTAATTCTCTGCCAAGTACAATGCTAGCTTTAGAAAAAGAAAAAAAAAAGACTGAATTGTTTTATTTAAACTTCCAAAATCATAAAATCATGTCATAAATCATGCCTGCAAAATTCAAAGCCAAAAGCTAAAAGTTTATAAATTTACAACAAAACAAAGGCAGGCACAAAACAGCTTTGGTAGAAACTGCCAGCATGATACTGCACTTGGCATTCTAATATGTGTTAGGAAAGCTCAACTGAATGAAATGCAAGAAAACTGAATGAAAAGCAATAAAAGTAATGGAGTAAACAAAGGTATTTACAAGCATTTTAAAAATAAACAGAAGTACTAAACTACACTAATTATATTCTGCTTACTGCCCACTTTTTCCAAACAAATATTTGTGGGTATCCAGAACTGAGTTGCAGAAGAAAAATTTAGGATAATCAGAATGTAAAGAGTAAAAAAAAAGAAAAAAACCACCAAAGAATCTACAGTTGTACAGTTGTACATGAGAAGCACTAATACCAAGACGGATGAAGTTTTAGAACAATTGACATACAGACAGAATCAAAAAATAACAAAAAAAATCCCCACTGAAATTCTGATTAAGGCGAAGTTCTGAGACGAAATTATGCAAGTGTCTGCTTCTAGCAAGCTGGTCTTCGGTCTTTTCAACACACACCAGCACAGACACGGGGGACAGCTGTCAGTACAACCCATAACTGAGACCACCGGGCCCATAATTCTCTCCTGGGATGATGGTGCTCCATGTGCCACCCAGCTTTGGCAGTCACAAGGAAAGCCATTATTGTAGCCTGGGGCATACAGGAAAAAGTATTGTCTGGAGCACAATTCCTGCGGCCCCCGCCCCTCCTCCCGTGCAGGAGAGTATCCGTAGGCACAGGCATACCCCACCAAGCCCAGTTCAAGGGGATTCACACTTTCAACTGCTACAGTGATGCGTATTTAGATCTCAAAATGCACGTTAGAATATGTGCACCGCAAAGCGCATTCGCTTTCTACACACTTTAAATTTGGCTGCATGTATTTAACACAGAAAGAAAAGCGTAAAGTAGTCACCACCTTGAGTTTTGGCTACATAATGAAGTGCCTCACCTGCATACATGTGGTAAGTCAGCCTCTCGATGAGCTTGACAACAGTTCCTGCCTTGATGATGGGGATTCCAGATTTGGGCTGCATGTTTTCTTCAAACACAATATTCTCTTCCGAATCGGGTTCTGCAAATCTATAAAGCTCAGGATTTGGAAATCTCATCTGCTCCTCTTTTTCTTCCTGCAGCATTGTTACATCCAACATCCTTTCCAGCGTGCTTCTATATTGCAAAGATATCAATGCTGCCATCCAGTTGTTTTTATCTTCAGCTGATTTAGCAGCAAAAATAACACTGTTCTCATCTTTTAAGATGATTTCAAAAGCATGTCTGTACTCATTAGTGTCGTCTTTATCATTGATTTGTACCTTTCGCATGAAGAACTTTTCTTTTAGACGATATTCTGCATTGCTAGCACCAGGAAGTCTTGGCTGGCCGTGATTTGACTTACAGCAAATCATCAAGCCATCGAACAGAAATATGTGTCTCTCGTGCTTAGCTCCTACGCGTGTAAGTGTTCCTTCCATGATGAACTCATTACAGCATTGTCCAATGTCCTTACCCTCCCAACCATCAATATTTTTCTGGATTTCATTCATTTTCTTAATTGCTAGCTGTTTCCCCTTCATCTGCTGAGTATAGAATCGGCATGCAGATTCACTTCAGTGAAGGATGGGAGAAAGGCAGCCTATTAGTATACGTGTATTTAAAAAACACAACCACCACTAACAGCAAAAACACAAGATCATCTTTCCAAGTGATGAGAATTCCACTGAGAATGCAACTTCAGCATTTAGTATCAGAACTATTGGAAGCCTTGGCTAATGTTTCTCTTAAGCACTTCATCTGATAAATTTTCTACTTATCTTGTATGCAATAAATGCTTTACTTAAACACAGGCAACAAGAAGCAGGCAAGTCTTTTAGTGCTTCTGAGCCTAACAAACCACTCATTTCCATAGCTGACACACAATTTTAAACTGCATTAATTTGAAAGAAGTACATGCAGAGAAAATAAGCTCTTAAATACATTCATGGCCAAGCCTAAAGATTACACTTTGCAGCACAGAACTTCTTTGGCAAAGAAAATATTGGAACAATTTTAAGAACAAAAGCAAAGTTATAACATGTCTAACTAACTGTGCAAATATTAGCATTCAATCAAACAGCAGATAGCATAACCCAAAAATTTGCTACAACAGTGTAACTACATGCTCATTATCTATGCATTTATTTCTATTATCCAGTGGTAATTTTAACTGGCCGTTACATAAAAAAACTCTTGAGATTAAGTAGTTTCAAATTCAAGAACACTCCCTTCTAATCACCAGAAATGTACTTTTATAATATTTTTAGGTAGACATTTATTATCTGAGCATAATTAACCCACAAGTGCCGTAACTTTCTACTTACCAGTGACTTCTCAGAACGTCTTAACTACCAGTATGCAAGGACACATAGAAATTAGAACGGGTTTAAAACAATAACAAATTATCTTGGCTTTGATGTCACTTCCTCTGAAAAAGCAGGCTTGTCACAAACTATTTTGTTCATTGTTTACTAAAAGAGGAAACTGGGAGCCCTGGATTTACAGCAAAACATTAAGGGCAGAAAGCAGGAAAAAATGGAAACATGTTTACCTAAGCCTTCGTTTTGCAAGACTTTTGGAGCATATCCGTTCCATACTGCTTTGAAGATTTAGCAGGGCAGTTATTGCTTGCTTTAAGCACTCCTTATCATCTTCATCCTCACTTTTTTCTTCCAATTGCTGTGAACATTGAAAGTAAAATACAAAAAGCGTTACAAGCATTTTGGTATGTGCAAATCCAGGAGTTTGACCTAGGAAGAAGAAAACCAACCATCTGCTGCTTTTGCATGCTCCTACTTGTTATTAATGAAACAACCAGGCATGTTACTGACACAGGCGAGAGAGACAACTGTCTGCTAAGAGCTTAATCTCAGTAAAACGAGAGCAGCAGCCACTAATCTCCAGACACAGACATGCTCAGGAACACATTATTTACCCCAAACTAGTTTATATACTTTACATCTCCAAAAAAGAACCCAGTAGAGGTGTTAAACAGGAGACTGCAAGAAGGGCTGTCACTTCACTAACAACAGTCTAACCAATATCTCATGCTGGAAGAGACCTTGGAGATTATCTTATCCACCCTCCAGCTCATCTGCAGAGCCAACGGGTTGCCTAGTGCCATATTGAGTTTTGAATTGCTCTCAGGGTGGAGGCCACAACCTTTCTGGATGGTCTGTTCCAGTGTCTGAAATCATTCATGGTGAATTTTGTTTTTCCTAGTAGCATATCAGGATTTCCCTTATGACTTTTCATACTGGCATATGTGGAAGTACTATGCAGCTGCAAGAAGTATTTTTGTCTTCCACACCCCATCACACAAAGACAGCAGGAAGATTTCCCCTCCTGCTTAGCCTCCTTTTCTCCAGAACAAATAAGCCCACATCTCCAACTTTTATTTCATCACATGCTCCATTCCTCATGTCATCTTGAAGAGCCCTTCCAGTGGGCTTGTTTCAATATACTGGTGTCAACAGGAAGCCAAGCTGGACGTGATTGTCCTGATGCAGCCTTGCCAGTACTGAACAGCTAGACACTACCACTGCCCTCAACCTGATGGCTACACGCTTTCTAATGCAGCAATACGGCCCTTCGCTGCAGCAAGGGTGTTCTGCTGACTTGTGTTCAGCTTATTATTCACCAGGACTGTGATTTTTTTAACGAAAAAAAAATAAACAAAGAAGAAAAGCAATAACCAGAGTGATGGTGGGAAAGGTAAATGTTCTTCCTTCACGGAGGGGTTGCTTGGCTGTTCATCAGAAAACAAGAGGGCATCTAACCATGGCCAGCCTGTAAAACCAGGGTACGTAAGTCCCTATCTGAGCATACAGCTACATTAACACCTTCATATACTAACTCAACTTTTCTTAAAGGATAAAAAAATATAATAAAGTTATAAACTAAAACTGGATGAGAAGGGTTAATATTTTGTGCCTAATTAACAATGTGACAGATAAGCTTTATAAAACAGTATCTGCCATGTTTTTACCCTAAAACATTTAAGATTTTCATCTTAAATCTTTGTGTAAGCTTTAACATGCTTCACACTATAGTCGGTGGAAAAATTGTTGACTACACCCATGACTTAAACATAAAATCAAGAAAAAAATTATTTATACGATTATTAAAAGACAAGTGTTTCAGACTATTATAATGAAGAACTGGTTCCAAACAATTGAAAGATTTGTTTTGACAGAGGCGGTAAAAGTGAAGCAACAGGCTGGCATGGACCAGAATAACAAGACACCCTTGGAAACTGTTGCTTCCAGTGTGAAATACAAGTACTGTCCTCAAAACCCAACTGAATATAACATCCATATTTGATGTTTGAATGTTTCATAGAATAGCAATAGACCAGAGTTAACCATTCAGTGCAACAGATGTCAATGCCAGACTACTTTATTTGTGTTTTCAGCCATAAGGCTGACCACAAGATTCATTCTCGGCAGCTTTGATTCACATAGTGCAATCTGTAATACTCTTGACCTAAGCAGCATTAGCCATGAGTGCCTAGTCACACCACAACCATTGAAATAGGACTGACAATGAAATAGGACCACAACAGGCACTACTTCACAAAAGGTCTCACAGAGAATACATCACCCCAAGAAGGAACAGTCTAGCCTCATCATATTCCTCTAAAGCATTTGACACTATCCCACATGACATCCTGGTCTCTAAATTGGAGAGGTATGGATTTGATGGATGGACCATTTGGTGGATAAGGAACTGGCTAGATGGTTGCACTCAAAGGGTTGTGGTCAACGGCTCAACGTCCAAGTGGAAACCAGTGATGAGTCGTGTTCCACAGGGATCAGTATACTGGGACTGGTGCTGTTTAACATCTTTTTCAGCGACATGGACATTGGGATTGAGTACCACCCTCAGCAAGTTTGCTGATGACATCAAGCTGTATAGTGCTGTCGACACACTGGAGGGGAGCAATGCCATCCAAAGGAACCCAGACAGGCTAGAGAGGTGGGCCCATGCCAACCTCATGAAGTTCAACAAGCAAAGTCCTGCACCTGGGTAACAGCAATCCCAGGCATAAATAGAGGTTGTTCAGCCTGGAGAAGAGAAGGCTCCAGGGAGACCTTATAGCAGCTTTCCAGTATCTGAAGGAGGCCTACAAGCAAGCTGGAGAGGAACTTTTTACAAGGGCCTATCCTAGTGATAGGATGAGGGGTAAAGGCTTCAAGCTGGAAGAAGGTAGATTTAGATTAAATATTAGGAAGGAGTTTTTCACTCTGAGCCTGGCCCAGGTTGCCCAGAGAAGCTGTACAAGCAAGCTGGAGAGGAACTTTTTACAAGGGCCTATCCTAGTGATAGGATGAGGGGTAAAGGCTTCAAGCTGGAAGAAGGTAGATTTAGATTAAATATTAGGAAGGAGTTTTTCACTCTGAGCCTGGCCCAGGTTGCCCAGAGAAGCTGTGGCTGCCCCATCCCTGGAGGGGTTCAAGGCCAGGTTGGACAGGACTTTGAGCAACCTGGTCCGGTGGGAGGTGTCCCTGCCCAGGGCTGGAACTGAATGGTCTTTAAGGTGCCTTCCAACTTAAACCATTTAACACAGAGGTTTCATCTTCCCTTGAGTTGTGCAGATCACCTAGATTTAGAGAAGACTTCAGACAAATAGGGCAGGTACAGCATCACTGGCAGAAGTCTTAAAAGAAAGCTAAGAAAAACATGTAACTACCTCTAAGATTTTGTATCTTTCCTGCACAAGAGTTCAAAGGAAGCTCCTTTCCTTGTGTGCTGCCTCTTTGACAACTTCCATCAAAGGAGTTTGGCTGGATTTCCTACCATCTCTGGGTAGCTGCCCTTCAACAATGGACAACACTAGAGCCTAGTCTCCTTGAAAACAAGCATAAAAAGATCCCACAACAGTCTGCCATTTGTGTGTAAGGGTACCACAGAAGACAGGGTAAGGAGCAAAGGAAACGTAAAACACAGCACAAAAATCGATGAAAATTAGGCTCAACGTGCAAGAAAAGTCCAAAAGCAAAATACATGTCTGGATACAGTGTGGGAAAGAAAGCAATGCTTTAATACCAACATTTCCCCATCAAGATCCATTGGAAGTAACCCATATTTCCAACTGTATATACAAACTAAATCAAAGCCCAGTGAGTATAATTATGATCCAGGTTTAAGATTCAGAAAGTAGTGTGTAGAACTATGCATCTTCTCGAGTGTAAGACCAACATAAATGGCAAATCAGACATTGCTGTCAACTGTGAACACACTTTTCTGCACACAGAAAAGGCATTTGAAAGTTTATATTTGAGCATTGTATAATTACCATGAATCGCTATCAAAAACCAGTGTTAGTCAGAACCAAGCATAAATTAAAGCAATGACTTTCATCTTACACCGCCCTCAGACAGTCTGGAAGAAGAGGTTACGGAAAATGAAATGGCATCACTGGAAAGACATCCAAGTTTCTCTGCAAATCTCACCGATTCTTCTATAGCTGTGCACTGCTAATCAGGTAGATGCTAAATATAAGTGTGGTGGTTTTTTGGTTTTGTTTAGTTTAAGATCAAGTGTCCTGCAAACGAAGAGCTGCAGATTTCTGATTGTCAGTAGTATTATAGACATAGCGTTTCTTTAAAATCTTATGAGAAAAATATTGGTTTATAAAGATTGTAATGAATCACAATGCTACAGGTGTAGCGTCCTGGCCATTCAAGGAAAACAAACTTGGAAAACAGACTGCTAAGGAACGTTTCTAATTAAAAAAGTATGTTCTAGGTTGCAAGCTCTGAAAAGACATCAAGAACTGGAAGACAAGGTATTTTGTTCTACCTGTTGCATAACAAAAGGATTAGATATTTATAAAACCAGGAAATTCTAAACAGATACAAAAGAAAGGCTCCTTATGCAGTGCAAAATTAGAACATGGTAGTCCTCTTACGCTGCCAGGGAAGCACCTATCTAGAAAGACAATGACAGAAGATCCATTTATACTGATGATGGGAATATGCAGATATAACAATTCTAGTAGGTGTCATGATAGATATAAAATCTTGTACTTCAGGTCTTACATCACAATCTAGACTTCTTTTTTCCTAGAAGGTTATTCTAAATCTAACTACTAACATTTGTGAACTGCAGGTTCCCCAGTTCATTTGGGAGGAGAGATCATAATACAGAAAAGACACAATAGTATATGGGAGCCACGGAAATCACAATCACGGATTTGCTTAACTTAACTCAGGATAGCTTGACTGCAGGTGCTAATGATACTTACTGCCTCTCAAAACATTAATCAAAGAAGCTTCGTGCATAAGTGGTCCCATGTTAGAAGGGAAGCTGCACACCGCAGTACTCAGAACAACGAGCTCAAACTAGTGCTGCTTCAGAGAAACCTCTCTCATGTAATTTCTTCAGACACCCTGAAGCCAACAGTGAGGCAAAACACTTGCACAGCTGGCAAAGCAAGTCTGATCTGCAGTGTGACCTCGCTGTCTGCTCTGCAGGGAAATGCAGAGCATACACAGACAGAAGAAACATTCACAAGAACTTAAAGTGCTCTGGCACCAGTTACTCCAGCTTTTACTCTTACACCTCACCATTTCCTTAAATACGTTTCTGAGAAGGAGGTACCTACCAAAAGACAATCCTGAAACAGGCTATTTTAATGATCAAGAATAAAAATGAAGTGGGTTTCCCCTCTGACA